CCTATTATCCCTGAACGGCGAAACAGTAACATCAACCATGTCATGCTTAACATCAGACACATCGTTACAATTAACGGACAAGTCACCATGACTTACTTTCCTGTTTGCATCCAAGACACTCTGTCCCTTCTTTGACCCAGGCATTGATGAACTTGACCCAATTCCAAAAAAGTTCCAGATATTGCTTGTTCAAAGAGGACTTGACCGGCACCAGGAAAAATGAACGGCGACTATCCAAACTTTCACCAACTGTTTGAATCCGCCAGATCTGTTTCCATCATCAGAAACTGTCAATCTCGTCTCATAAACCGTTAATGCCCAGCTCTCGCTACGCTCGGGCCCACGCTGTTCTTCGAAGATTTCTCAGAAACGCTTAGTAATAACGGACGCAAAAACCAAAACACTGATCTGCCGCTTTAGATTTGTTTATTGTTACACCAACATATAAAAGGAATAAGCGAACTAAGGTCTAAAAACAAATATTACAATAATAAATCATTGTATTACTTCTGACGATGTTTCACTCCTCTTTCTGAACAGCGACCGATGAGACGATGACTGTCGTATTGATGCCTCCGCGAAAATTGGGGAAGTTGATTTTAAGCAAACAACCATGAATTGATCGTTCAATCTTCAACTCCATTGACAAGGTCTTTTAGTGTTTTTTACTACCTTGCACTTTTTACAAGCTAAGCACGTGTGTGCCCAATCAATTTCTCCTTTATTAATACCAAACCAACAAAACCGATTAGTTACGAGCTTGACAGTAGTTCGAATACCTGGGTGAGATAATCCATGCAATGTATTGAAGACGTTACGGCGATAACTTTTAGGCACGATGGGGCGAAGAGTACTCGTGGAAATGTCGCGCAAAATAGTATCTCTTCCCATACCTAAGGGTTTCTTAGCTTATTGTAGAGTTGTTTTCGACAACTCATGTTGAAGCTCAGTATCTTCTTTTTGAAGATGAGCCAGTTTTACAAGGTCTATACCGTCGATTTGGGTGAGGGAGCAAACGCGCGACAAGGCATCTGTCACAGTGTTGTTTACCCCGGATACATGGCGAACAACCGATATAAACTATGAAACGTAGTCCAGTTGTCGTGATTCTCTAGGTGAATACCTATCTGAGGTTGAGTTCAGAGAGTGCGTCAGAGGTTTGTGGTCAGTGAAAATTACGAATTAGCGACCCTAGACTGAATGTCGAAAATGACGTATAGCACAGTACATAGCCAGAAGTTCTCTGCCGAATGTGCTGTACTTCGTTTCTGCTAATTGAAGGCGCCTCTAGAAAAAGGCGAGTGGTTGCCACTCATTGCCAACTAGCTGTTGTAGAACTGCGCCGATTGCAGTGTCTGATGCATCAACCGAGACACTTTATGGTGCCGTTGGATCCTGATACATTAGAAGTGTGGCATTCGCAATAGCCTTTTTAACCTGAGTAAAACATTTCGAGAAGACGTGTTATTCCCTCGAAGAAGGTCTGTCAATGGCTGAATCAGAGAGGCACAGTTGGGGATAAACCGTCGATAATAACTTACCAAGCCGTTAAAAGTGCGTAGAGGTTTTACTGTCTGTGGCTCTAGAATTTTCAATACCGCCTCAACTTTACCTACCTGTCAGCGAATGCCCTTGCAGTCAGTGGTGTGGCCCAGAATGTCGAGTAAGTTGACGCCTATCTGACACTTGAATATTAATGCCAACACCATGTCGGCATAACCTTTCAAACGGAAAGTCCAAGTGTCTAAGGTGAGTTTCCTTGTCTGGACTGGCAATGAGGCAGTCGTATAAGTATGCGTATACAAAGTCAAAACCGCGAAATACTCAGTCTATGAAGCGTTGGAATGTTTGTGCTGCATTCCGGAGACCGAATGGGATAGCCAAAAGTTAAAAAATCCGACAATCGTAATGATAGACGTTTTCGGAATATCTTCTGGTGCCATCTGGATTCCGTTATACGCTTTAACCAAGTCTATTATCGAGAATATACTTGCGCCAGATAATGTTGTTGTCAAGTCGTGTACGTGAGGCAATGGATAGCAATCAGAGGGTTGTTTTGGCGTTCACTCTCCGGTAGTCACCAATCGTTTTTCGGTACCATACGCAGTGGGAATGTTCATGGGCTGTTAGATGTCCGAATGATGCCAAGGGTGAGCATATGGCCGAACTCATTTCTAGCGATTCTCAGTTTGTCAGGAGCAAGCCGTCGTGCTTTAGAGGTCACGGGTCGTCCTGAGGTTGTGGTATGGTGCATAACATTGCTGGTTATGCACGGTAGGTCGTTCGACGGGCAATTAAGTTCCGGTTATTTATCAACAATCGGTTGAAAAGTTAGATCAAGAATTGCCTTTATCTTAACGGGTGACAAACTGGGGCCTATGTATGTGATGCCTTTGATAGACAGACTAGTAGTATTGTCAATCAGTCGTTTTCGGCGGACGTCTACGAGTAAATCATGATGATCAAGTAGGTCTGTGCCAATGATGGGCATTGTAACGTCGGCGAGAAGGAAAATCCATCGAATAGGTTTGCGTAAACCTACGTTCAGATACACGTATTTTCTACCAAAGGTTGCGATTGGTTTTCCATTTGCAGCCTGTAAGTTGAAAGTAGGTTCCTTCTGTCGATCTGCTGCTGTAGCAGGAAGGACGCTGACTTCGGCACCTGTGTCGACTAAGTATCGAGTCTGGCTTATCACATCATGGATGTAAAGAAGGCGGCTAGTGCCACCGGTGACGGTTGCCGCTAACGCGTGCCGGCGGGATAGTTTCCCACAGTTTTTGAGACATTTCTGAAATTACAAGGTTTTCGGCAACATTTCGCTTTCAGGCCATAGGTATTGTGTTACCAACATCAGTCAAGGTTTTTTAGTGAACGTGGCTTGGATTTGGACCGACCATGTGAGTTTGGCCGTTAAGAGGAGTTCGGATGACGATAGGAGTAATTACAGAATATATTTCAACTAAGTAGCTGCTGGAAACAGTTGCAGCGTCCTTACTCGACGTCTTTTCGGCAACTGAGCATATTTCAGTAACTGGCCATTTTGTTATTTCTAGAATTTTATCTGCAGAAACAGCTAAGTCGTCTAAAATGAAACCCTGAAGAGTCACTAGCACAGTCTGTACTGACTGTGGCAGTTAGGATACGAAAAGTTCCCTGAAAAGTCCTTCATCGAACTGACGTAGGCCAATAACTTCCCTCATTCTTGTTGGCATGCTCACAGCTGACTGATCGCCTAACTCGACTTTGCGAAATAGTTCATCAAGACGTTGTCGATCAGTCAGAGCGTTTCACCTAAGGAAGGTTGCTTTAAGCAACTTGCACGAGTTACTTACCTCTGGACTCGACTTCTGCACAGTAACGCACTTGCTGAAGTCCCGCGGTAAGGCATGGGCAACTGCAAGGAACTGCGAACGGTGATCAGTTAACCCATGTTCGCTAAAATCAGACTCAGCATTCTGAAACAATGATTCTGCATTATCTGACCAAAATGGCACAATCTGAATAGTTTTGGCAGTTAAGAAAATCATCGGCAGCACGCACCCACTGGGATTCGAACCCAGGACCTTCCGGTTACAAGGCAAGCTTATATATATATGAGAGCATAGCAATACTGTTTCGCTATTCGTTTTCTTAGATTTAGATCCAATTCTGTTCACTTCATTTCGAGAAGGGGAGGGGCTGAGTTGTATCACTAGGCCTCCTATATAAAATTTAACTCACAGCTCGTCAAATGAGAGACCTGCTCTGATTTGCAACTTCACCCTTTCTCGAATTTTCAAATGAGTTAGGGGTGGAATGGTGAGGTTGAGGAGCATTTTACTGTCCAGATTGACTAGCTATCCAGCCAGAGAAGAATACTAGCAGCTCCATCTTCGAATACCTTGTCAACTCTGAATATCGGGCACCCCCAGTCGCAAGAATGCTTCAAAGAGTCCCTTAATATCTTACAAAAGGACTTACTTCGAATACGCCATCTGTACATAGCTGAATCATTAGCTATTCGGGATCCAGAACTGGATCTCTGCATTCATAAACACCACATGCATTCACTCACCAACCTATCGTAGCCAGAGTAACATTCTCACTTTAATTTTGATTCTCTTCATCCTTATATTATCGTCACTCTACCAGTGTTTATCATCTTTCCACTCTATACAGTCGTTATCACTAGTCATTTTCTCACACTGATTGCGTTATGGCGGCCTCCGTGCCTCTTTTTAACTTCCAATTAAGCACGCCCCCAACTACACTACATCCTACATTACGTAGTATGTTTTCGAGGGAGAATTTTTACCAGCATCTGTTTAGTCGTGTTATGAATTCTCTGTTAAATGTTGCACACCAGCTTATGAAAATGAATCGTCGAAAAACATTCTCCACGCAATTTACGTCTGTCTTTTTCTTATACTTTCACTTTTTCCGGTAAAACCTCAGTGAAAATATAGTGTAGGTCTCGATGGCTAATCTCTCTCTTTATGGTCAACCATCAAAAGTATATGCATATAGTCCCATCATCAAGTGGTAGATGTTAGAATTCATGCACTGGCCATTGAATCGGGTCCTAGTGGCTGAGTGGTATACAAGCTCACTGACTTTGTAACCGGAAGTTACGGGGCTTGAAACCTGGCGGTGAGTGCGAAATGCCAATGCGTTCCAAACTAGGCTGATCAAACAGCTGTCCACTACTCCCTGCTGCTGATTTTGCAATGGTCATTTAACTGATAAGCATAAATCCGTGGTGAGACTCAAAGAAAAAAACAATACTTGAAAATATATATGCATATGTTTAACGAAAACAACACATTTTTATTGGATCACAAAAAGCGGGACAAGAGAAGAATCACAAAGAATTTTGCATAGAGAGACAGAGAGAGAGGGAGGCAGGGAGAAATACAACTCCAATAAACATTAAATATCAAAAGGCGATAAAGACAAAAATCACATGTTTGGAATCATAAGTCACCCAGTCAAACACCCGCACACACACAGAAGAAAATTTACCAAACATACTGATCAGGTGTAAAATCAATATATCTATGATCGTAATAATGTGATTCAATGAATTCTACTTTGTTCTGTGGTTCTGGTGAATAATAGGCTATTTTATCCTTGAAAGCTTGTTCCATAACAGCATAAGAGATTTCTTTTGATACTTTAGCCAGACTGGCAATTGATGGATAGACACTGCCTTTGCTTAAATCCTCGTTTGTAACCAATTCAGACAATTTCTATTAATGCAAAAGAACAATAAACGAAATGTAGCAATAATAATAATAGTAACAATGTATCAGTGATAGAATTGAGGACATCTGACACACTTCAATTTCATTCAACTCAAAATGATGATGTCACCAGAAGGAGACGGGGTGAAATAACAGTGAATATGAGTCATGTCTGTCAAAAATGGCCAACTTTCTCGTGAAAATTGCAGCTGATGTCAGTTAAAGGGGACACAACTGAGAAGCCAAGCAGCAAAGAAACAGCTGTTTGTATCGTCTTAGTTTCATACTCTGCACAGCAGTCTGCGCACCAACAGAAGTTCGAACCCACGGCCACCTTCCAGTTACTAAAAGATGAGCTCGTTGGCCGGCAATGAATCAGGTTCCAGTATCTGATCTTGTTACCTCAAAGTACTAGGTTCGAACTCCAACCGGTGCGTACCGTTGGTTTTTCATAATTGTTTCTCGCCAACAGATGTCAGCTCGCGATCAAACCCGTAATCAATCGAATTCCTCTAAACTAACACTTAAAAAGGAATGCAACTGTTAATATGAGTTATATCACTTTGTGATTGATTAAAGGGGAAGTTGGTTACTTACTACAGAGATATAAATTACTCTCATTGTGTATGGGATAGCACTATCCAGTTATTATGGCTGGAGACAATAGGTGGAGCAAGACTCGAACTCGGTAATCAATAGGTAGAATTTAACTGTTTAAGTCAACCTACCATATACATCACCAAGTGTATGGAGATATCTGGGTCACACGGCTGTTTGTTAAACGAAAAAGCCCTTCTTGATGTGAAAATAACAAGACGACTTAACGTAACCTTAAGAAGTATAATTCACAGAAAACCTACTTGGAATGGTCAACTAACAATCCGATTAAATTCCTTGCCACTAGGTTTAGCAGGGTGGTGAGCAATACTGGGGTGAGGCGTAGGTCGGGTGCTAGGTAAAGAAGGAGCAGGGTAAATCAATCATCGAGGTTATGAAGTTCTTATATTGATTGAGATGGTTAGGATGTGTACTACACATTTGCGAATGGCTATCGCCTTCCTCAACGATGGGCAATGTTAGCTGACTCACGTAGGATCGATCATGTTGGGAAGAAGTTAGGCAGTGGTAGTGGTGGTCAAACCAAAATATGGGCTTCATCAGTCAATTAAATCCACAACAGTTAGTTTAAACCAGCCAGTTAGCCAGCCATGAAGGCAGGTGTAGACTATCTGACTAGTTGGTCGGCGTCCTCGTGATGGTATAAGCCAGTGAAGGCTGGAGACAAAATCGTTCTAGAAAATGGCTGGCACAGATGGATGCACAAATTAAACCCTACTGTTCTTCTGTATTACTTCTCTTTTCTCTCACACTTCTGTCTATTATCTCTGTTTCTTTTGAGGATCTCTTTACTCTCTTCTCTTGCTTTGTGTGGTACATGGAGGCAGTGTGGCAACTCGAACTGCTGTACATCTGTGTATAGTAGTTCTACTTTGAAACCAGCCAGCCAGCCAGCAACTTAACAACCTTCGTCATTACAGTCTAAGGAGATCCAAAATGCTAGGTTTGATCGCCGGATGACACCGGTTACAGAACCCTGAGAAAACCAGACAAAACTGGACAGATGTAGTTTTTGATAATTTAGGACCCTTCATTATGACGCACCATCATCACTGGATCCACCACCACCACCACCACTGGAGATGGAACTTTGGATGTGATGAGGACAAACCAGTCGGTCTTTCAACTACTTTGGCTAGTTTTCAACGGTTTCCTAATCAAAAGCGACTAAGTCCCATTGCAAATCAACACATGAAAATTAAAAAAAAGATTACAGAATAAGGGTGGTAAGAAAATATTCATTAGAACTAGCAATGTATTTAATTACCTTAGCTGCTGTAAGCAAAAGTTTATCAGTAAGTGGACGTATCATAGCCAATGACAGGGCATTAACTAAACCTGGGAAAACATAGCAATTATTCCCTTGACTAGGAACCAATAAACGACCATCTGGTGCTTGAACTGGATCAGACGGCGAACCACTAACATAAATGCACCTCCACTAGAGCAGAAAAACAACAAAACAAATAACAAAACAAAAAAAATTGTGATCGGTTTTCAGTGTACATTTGTCATCATCAACCGATATCAGTTGTATAATCACCCCGACATACGAAAGGAAACCTGATCCGCAGAATCCTCAGAATTTGCAGCCCTGATACTATGAAAGAGAAACTTAACACTAGAAAATGGCTACCCAGAACGTTTCATCACGAATTCTCTAAACAGCACACACATTCTGCTCCCCTAAAAAGCGTCTCTACTTAGATATGCAATGCAATTCATCGGCAGAAATATTGATAAACCACCTGTCCCCCTCACTGAATAAAACATTCTTCGCGGTTGAACTTTGACTAACTCTCTCTACGAAGCAAATGATTCACACGAACGTGAAGGATAAGGTAATGCTGTTGGTCAGCCGCATCATTGTGCACCCACCAATTCACCTGCTCCACCTGTGGAGCCAGGTATTTTATTTGTTTATTTTTGATTACAGCTTGATTTCATACCGTATTTTCGGTACAAGTATGGAATTTTCAGCATGGATATCGGTAGCGCAAATTTTGCAGGCCGACCATTGATATCAGGTGTGCGTCGGCAGGGCAATTTCTATTCAAACGTATCATCGAACACTTACCCACAGTCATGGGTGGTTTTATAAAGGAGAAAAAAGATTCCCCCACCACAGCAGCTCTGCCCTGGAACACCTGATCGAATATGGACACAAAGCTAACCCACCCACAAAGGAAATTCAAAGTTATCTAGAAAATAATCTAAAAAAGTACTAGTCAAACTTCCTCAAACGTCACAGAAGCATTGACGATTCACATGTTAAATCCTAAACTGTGCATACAAAAGAAGTTTGCTCAGTCATTAGATCTACATTGGACCTGATCTATCTTAACACCAAATACGTTCTTTAATTGCATTACTTTCCACTCCTACCCTTTATTACCACTGTTGTTGTTGTTAGCTTGACTCTCGTTCGCATTATATTTGAATTCTACTCAACCCCATCACTCAACTTAGTTATTAAATCTTAATTAGTTTCTACCCGATTAACGCTTTCTACATTGTGTAAATTGTTATCTAAAATTTACAATTCTAATGTGACATATCTTTGGAAATATTCATTTCGTTGCTAAGACTGTTAACTATGCATATATATATATATATATATATATATATATATATATATATATATATATATATATATATATATAAGACAAGGGTGCCTACTATCGCCAATGACTTTAATGATTGCGGTAAACTGGATAATGCGACAGACAGCGGGAAATGAGGAAACAGGCATAAAATAGACTCATACAAAAAACTTGGAGGATCTGTACTTCCCCGATGATATAAGTCTGATTTCCCACAAACTGGAAGATATACAAGTGATGAAAAGCAACAAGTTGGCAGAAGAAGCATCCAGAATAGATAGGACTTCAGGTGAACATAGAGAAAATAGTGGTGATGAAGATTTCTGGCCAACACCAACAACAACAATCAGCATAAATGGGAGGAACCTGAAAGAAACAACCCCCTTTACCTACCTACCTGGGAAGCATCGTTTCAACCACAGGCGGATGGAACTAATGAGGATATCAAAGCGAGGATCAGGAAAGCAAGACAAGCTTTCATTACTCTTAAGTCTGTGTGGAAGTCAACAGCACTCAGCATGAAACTGAGAATAAGATCCGGATTTTCAACTCCAATGTGAAGTCAGTCAGTGCGACACACTATACGGATCAGAGACTTGGCCAGAGCGTCATAACGGGCATCTCAAACAAACTACAGACCTTCAACAGCAGTTGTTTTCGCTCAATACTCAAGATCAGATGGCCAGCCAGAAAATATCACCGAAAGGGATCTCTGTAAGCGAACCAACACGGCAGGAACCGATTGTGAAACAAATAGACAGGAAGAAAATGGGGATGGATTGGCCATACTCTGAGGAAACCATCAAGTGACATCACTAAACAAGCCCTCGAGTGGAACCCCAAAAAGAAGCGGCGAGTTGGTCGTCCAAGGGTGACTTGGAAGAGGTTATGTGAAGAGGAGATGAAAGCGTGTGGGCAGACTTGGAGCCAGATGAAAACGTTGGCAGAGAACCGAACGCTAAGGAGACTTGCAGATGAAGCACTATGTTCCTCTAGGAATTAAAGGAAATAATAATAATGATATAATATGCGATTATAGAGCTTGAGAATGATATCACCAGAAAGAGAAATAACTCTTCTCTGAACGCCTTTTCTTTTACATGACTCAATGGGCATTTTCAAGTTTCTTATCGATAATCCTCTGTTCCATTCAATCTTTGAGTTCTGAGTGGGATAAATATACGGTTTCATGCCCAACTTTCTTCTCTTCTTCGGCTTTGCTAATGGTAAGAGGAGTGTATCCACTGTGAACTCAACCCGGACATACTGGTGTCGTTGTCAATGCACTGTATGATAGCGTGCTAGTGCCCTGACGACTACTGTTGGGCTTGTAAAAATTTCTTTGAAGTACATCAAGTCAATTCAGCTACACGATACCAATGAAATAGTAAGTAGTCGACTGTGAAGCAACTACTAGTGGGTAATATCTAAAAAGCACACAACATTTAGCCAACTGATCTAGTATTACAATGTCGCATACATACTTACATACATACACACACACAGACGTGTAAGTGTGAGCGGAGCAGAACTACACGGTACATGTTGTGTCTGATGCCTAACCCCTAACCATTAGTACTCAAAGTAGAAAGGTTCTAGTTTTTACACCAATCATTTTCAGTCAAACACGCCTAAACAAGGTGGGCATACATGAGGGCATTTTTCTGTAAAATTTACTTTCTTTCACATCTTCGTAGTCATTTTCATTGACATGTTCTGTTTTGGGTTGCTATTTTTGCCAAAGTTTTCAGGGTTTTTTCTAACTGTTATCTAACCTTCAAGAATAATAATAATAATCATTATTATAACAATTTGCTTTATTCCCTTATCTAGCTAATCCCATTGAACAATGAACGAGAAGGCAGCAGGGTAGGCTTTCCAAGTCAGGCTACCTATGAAAGTATCACCAAAAAACCAGTTAAATTTATAAATGTACATTGATGAGGTGGTGTTGTCAGACTCGGTAGCTTATCCTACACCTGTGCGTTGGAATTATACAACGAGGGATGAATTTCTAAACGTTTATGACTGATAGTTTATTATGTAATTGTAAAACTTGACGAGAATTTTGTTACTGTGGAAATATTCTACTGAAAGGGAGATAACAATGATCTTTTCTTAGTGAAGCCGCCAAAACCATTTGTCAGACTGTGGAAGCAGTTTACATCTAATTTGATCAAGATTCGTATGTGGGATAGTTAAACTTTGGGATTTATGAACTGCATTCATTCTTACGTAAAAAATACCCTTCGACTTTATCGACACATTTGTACGTCTGTGCGCTACGCTGAATAGCCTGCTACAACAGAAAGGTACTATAGTCCTCTGAATACATAATAATAATAATAATTTGCTTTATTCCAAAACAGTACTGATGATACACAGTGAAGTCATTCATATATGCACAAAGACAAAAAAAACATTGTGAATAATAATGATAGTAATGTTAGTAGGCAAGATTGTCAGTCAGTTCAATTGAGATAGTGTCGACATAGATTACAAATAGGAGATTGCAAATAGTCGAGCTGATTATTTTGCTGACAACACAGTCATTCGTAAGTTTCACGCTTCAAATTGTCTCTATCGCATAGAACACGGACTGACCACCAAATATGGTATCGTTGACTTTCTACACTTCGTAGTACGAGCATATAATCTCTTGTACTGACTTCTAGTTCTACTAGATGAGATACAACAAGGCGGAGAGTGTTGAGGGTCAGACAATATGGAGTTAGACCACTTCTCACACATAAGTTGTTTCTTATGTCTATCATTTCCCTAATGTAGTAACTAGCTGACTGACTGCACATCACTTGCCTTACTCACAGCATTCAATACATTTCTCAAAGTGACATAATCCTTTTTGAGTAAGTAGCCTAGAAAAGACTAAGTTGGGGGAGGGGAGCAGTAAAGTACACCAGGTAAGATACAGAAGTTAGCAAATTGTAGAAGTAGAGGTTGAATGATTCCTACCTGATTGTCTTCGATGCTTAATGTAGTAGTTTAGATGGAAAATCTTCTTGAAGATCGACAAAATATGAGATGACCGAGCAGGTAAGGTTAAAAGATGAGAACTATACCAAGGTAAAGTTGTGTTAGACCTAGTTCCTATTACAGTTCCTCCCTATGCTACAAGCAACATGTGCACCAACCAGTTGTGGTAGAACACGTTTGTCTAAACGAGAAGTCCACAGTCTGGCATTTCGAGGGATCTAACGTAAGATCACTTCGTTTGGACCAATGATTGATGTCTGGCAAAGGACCATTGGATCGGATCCCAGTGGCTTAATGGTATACGAGCTCGCCTTGTAACCGGAAGGTCCTGGGTTCGAATCCCGGTGGGTGCGTACTGATGAAGAGTCCCAAACTAGGACGAAACAGCTGTCCAGTACTCCCAGGCTTTCCAATGGTTCTCTAACTAATGTCAGCTCATGATGAAATCCTGAAACCAATCAAATCCCTACAAACCAACACTTAAAAAGCTATTAAGTTTGTAACAGTGTGGTTGCGACTTCCCAGGAAGCGAGACGGTCAGATCGTCCGTCAGTGTATTTAACGAAGTTGATTTCATTCGTAAGACGTAAGTCATGTAAGAATAAAGAAAAAAAGAAAAGGAGAGTGAACAGCACGCTGAGGAACACCAGCTTCAGTGAATGATATTTTGTCCAATAAAGTCATAGAATGTAATTTAGCTTAACCATTACTAACAGTGGTCACTATATGACATGACACATTCTTAACCGTTGCCTTCCTCGAAGGGCAGTGTTAGATTTCATAAGTTTAGGTTGGAAAAGAGTTAGTGATGGTCAAACAGAAACATGGAATCAATCAGTTCATGGAATCTTGAACTGTTTACTTCGACCCAACCATGGAGGCAGGTGTCGACTGTCTGAGTGGTTGGTGGTGTTCTCGGGACTATAAGAACCAATGGCTGGATAAAAATATCATGTATCCTCACCCCATGACGTTGATGCAGACTAGATTTTATCAGCCAAGTTTGAAATGAGACCTAGAAGCTGGGTGTTTAACCACTGATGTACACTTAGGAGTAATGTAAGGCGGCTGGAGGTAATCGGAGGTCTCCGATATGCAAATTAAATTGTCACACAATGGCAGTCAGCAGCGTTTAAGGATAGAACGCCCACCCGCCCGCCATGCATGTAGTCCCACTTCAACTGCTGGCCAACACATTCCTAAACCCCGCTTAGAACTGACAGTCAGATCAGTAAACACAGGAGGTTGGGCGTGAGGCTAACAGCCTGCATGCCAGTAGAAACAACAGCATCGTTACTGAACCTACAGGTTTACAGTCCTAACCCCTTGTCCCTCATGTTCTACTTGAGACCTGAAGCAATAAAAACACAGAAAATATCGATATTAAGCTGACATTCTCTAATAATTAATCAAGTGAATTATCTTACTTCAGTAGCTTTGTAAGCCAGCTGAGCACTGCATTCGGCTAAATTTGAGGGATTACTCAGAACGAAGATCACAGGAATTTTGTTAACTGTAGCCATTTCACGCAGGACATCACGAGTGAATGCACCCGGTTTTGCGGAAGCTCCTGTAAACAAAAGACACAAAAGAAAAAGAAATCTTAGTTGTCAGTCATTGTGGCATTATATTATTAGTGTTCCCTTCGATTCTGAAAGGAACATAGAGCTTCAACAACACATCTTCACTTTCTTCTATTTTCCAATGTCCTCTTCAGCTGACTAGCTCCAAGATCGACCATAAAATATCTCATCTCGTCCTCCCCCTTCCACTCACACGATCTCCTCCATGTCACCCTCACACACCGACCACCTAATCGTCATCTCCCATTCACCTCCCACTAGACTCAAGGCCTGCAAGGTCTGTGACCTGTTGGAAATCCTTTTCGTGATACGCCAAGTTTTTCACCCGAATAGAAGAACTGATTGGCATCACATTTGTGTTGAAAATCCGAATCCTGTTCTTTAAACAGAGTGCAGAAGAAGATTTCCAAACTGGTTTCAGGTTGACGAGGGCACATCTTGCCCTTATCATCCTGACTGGCTGGTTTTGATATCTTCATCTGTTCCGACTGCCTGTGGTTGAAACGATACTGCATCCCTGAAAAGTGGAGGAGGCCACCTGTGTTAAATCTCTCGTGTTGATGTTGATCGTCGCTGGTTGTTGTTGTTGTTGTTGCGGTTCGTTGGTTATCTTCATCAGTTCCGTCACCATCTTCTCTGTGTGTCTACCTGGAGTCCTGTCTTCGCTGTCAGCTTCTTCGACCAGTTTGTTAGTTTTCGCCTGTTTGCAAGCACTTGAGTTTGTCTGACACTAGACATATGTTATCCGCAAAATCCAGATCTTCTAAAGTCTTCTTATCAGTCAGCACAGCGTACTCCTGACTCCTCGCTCCCCACAGTCTGACACATAATCAAGTCAACCAGAATTTAATAACATCATCGTTGGTAATCATAGGTATTCAGTCTGTTTTACTCCTGTATGCATTTCGAACGCCTCGCCGAGTTTTCCGTTGTGGATCAGCTGACACGTGTCATTGTCATACAGCCGATTGTTGAATAATGTTGATAAAGACTTGAGGTACGCCATAGTGTTGAAGTAATTTCCAAACTACTTCTCTGTCACCGTTGTCTGTCGAAGGCCTTTGCGAAGTCGATGAAGTTGAGGTAGTATATTTCACACCCTCTTTACACTTTTTAAATTTACACTTAAATACCTTTATTCTCATTCAAGAGCAATTTTAACCTTATCAGACTTCTATCTTTGTTCTGTTGAATACCATGTAATTTACAACTTTTAATTTTCACTTCTAAAGCCACTTCTGAGTAATTATATCAATTATGTCACCTCCTATTACTCAATAATAGACCACTATATATTTTTGCAAGTAGAAATACGAATGTACAGCCTCTGATGAGATGATTTCGTCGATAAAGAAAATTTTCTTCGCTGAATCTGTCTTTTATTTTATTCATAACTATTATTCTTATTAATAATAGTAGTGATTATTTATTTTTACCAAAATACACTACAGGTACTAAGAGACGTACCGCAGAAAATCTCACGGTTAGCGAAAAGGCTGGGTGACAGCCTAGACACTCATACTGAAAGCAAGTGACAGTTTTAAGGGACCACATCTGAGCCTTTGACTTGAAATTCAATCCACAATGTAGTGGAACAGAGTGAGAAGCCACGAACCAGTTTTTGTCCAGAGACTGAAAAACAGGTTCATACACCATTTGATCCACTCGGATTCCGCCGGAGTCTATGTACACCATACATAGGTTTAGAATCATGATTTCTTCAGCTCTCATTTCCACCTGACTGGTTGTAAACGCTATACGTTCGCGTTTGCTTTTTTACTTTTGTGACGAACACACCCACCACATGAAGACAGTGAACAAGACATGTCTGGGAGAGACTACGAAGGCGTGGCCACATGAGAGAAGCATTTCGAGATGAAGACAGATGTCTACACATCTTTGGTAGTATTAAGTAGTTTATAGGGACGTCAACGAGGTAAGTGTAGCATATATAGCAAATAGTACTGAAAATATGAAATTACTCATTAAAAACACTATCTTAAGACATAACACAAAGGTCGGTTGAGTTCATTTATGTTAACTGTTCATTAGCCAAATATCCTTTGCATTTTATTCATTATGTAAAACACAAAACCTACCACAACAAGGCACCAAGAAGATGAGCCACCAATAACAATAATAAAACAACATATGAAAATAAAAAAGTATATAGGGAATGAATAAAGGACTTCCTCTGTGAACAAGGCAGTTGTATTTCACATGACCCAAAGGCATTCTTCGAATTATTGTCAGAAATGCATGACAGAAGGAAATTGCAGCATGATGTTTGTCATTGATGACTGTGATTCTTAGCCATATCCGAAAACTTTTCGAGCTATCTCTCGGACGCCAACCAGGGAGATATGACGCACAAACAGGTTCTAATCTGCCATAAATATCCGTCAGCACATGACGCCACGTCATGGTCTTACCACCTCTCTGCTTTAGTCATCCCGTCGCAGGGCTAGCGAACAGAGACGGATACGGAAGCCTGTCTCTGGGATGACATTCGTAGCACACGTCTCAGCCACCGAAGCCACTGTTCCCAGATGACGACACTCAATGAACGATGTTCCAACACACAATGCCAGACCTCAGAATTATTCCCACGACGATACCATTGAATGCATGCAATTCTACAGAGACAAAGATGATCGAATAAGCATAATCGCCGCTCATCCTCACCTCGGAGAGGTCAGATTTCATAGTGGCAGAGCAAGTCTACGATCTCCGAAGCATCGCTAATCCGACCTTTGATAAACAGACTAACGTCGCAGTGACGACAGAGGTGGCTCAAACTGATATATGCCATCCTAGCTTCTATCATGATACGGTTAGAAATCTCGTCCATCACACCTCACCTCCACCAGCACTCATACAAATATCCAGGTACCTAGACAGTGAAAAGTACATAACATACTTACAGACGCTGATCGCCAACTGATTAAGTGAGGTTCGGGCAGCCTACATGCTATATATCGCAAAGTAAGCGGATATTGTTTGCATATCCAAGATTGGGAAATCTTCCTACAGGAATCAGATCTACATCACCACCCACACGACGAACGTCCTTAAGAGCTGATTCCAGAATGTCATTGATGGGTAAAGTTTGACAGAAATGATGAGGTTGGGTGATCATGTCTAACGCCAGTTTTGAGATTAGGCATCGAAGGCTAAGTAAGAAAGAAGAGGGGAAATCACTGGGTGACATGGTTAGGACATGTGTTACGCATTTACGAATAATCAGCTTCATCCTCGACCGACCGCCGATGTCAGCAGACTGACATAGGATCGATCCGGTTGAAAAAGGAGTCAGCTAGTGTTGGTGGTCAAACCAAAACCAACATGGCTTCAGGTTGGGGTCCATAGGACGGAGAAACTCAATGACGGCAGGAGACAATCGATGATATGGCTGAAAATCGTTCTCGTTGATGGCTGGCACTGGCTCAGATGCATTCACTCTTTGTGATGATCTATCATATCCAATAAAACTCTACTGTTATTCCTTCAAATCAATATTCTTTTTCACTGACTAACACTACTGTTTATCATCTCTCTCTTTCTCTGCTTTGAATCTCTCTTTACTCTCTTCTCTTGCTTTGTGTGCTACATGGAAAAAAGGTAACAACTCGAACTACTGCACATCTGTGCAAAGCTCTACGTTGAAACCAATCAGTCAACTGTTGTTTAGAAACAGCGATGACAGCTGGTTGCATACTCTCAATTCACCTAAGATATTTCTGTATTCTGGGCATTCAGGATGTTAACAAAGTCCTAGGGTACACCTGTCTCCCTAACAGAGAGTTCCAGAAAAGAGTTTTGTGCACCGAATCGACGAAGACAGTGGTCTGTCGTAATGTCGGAGGTGTACAATGCATCAGACTCAACAGTAATCCACTGTATTTAAAAGTTGACGAAAACGCGTGTTTTATCAGTAACATTGATAGAAGTGTGTTGTCATCGCCCACGGAGGTTTCAGCAACACCAAAGTGACACAGCATCTCTGAATTTATCCTTTCTAAAATTTTCTGAAAACGACACACCCAGACGGATAGCTCTCTCTACACCTAGCATAAATTACAACTCCTATCGATCACTGGTGATGACAATTACAACAGAAAGTCTGAGAGAAAAAAGAACAGCCACCAGATTAGGCGTGATGAACACTATTTTTCTTCTTGAAAAATAAAGACGGCAATTCAAAAGAATTTCGTAAACCAACAACCAAAAACAAACAAACAAACAAACATACACATACCAATCAGAATAGACGGTCGGATTGATCGAACAGCCTCCAGTAATGAATCGACCTGAGGGCAATCAGAATGAGCAAATTCTGATTTCGGTCCAGTAAGTTCATTTTGAGGACGACTCTTAGATTAAAAAAAATTATAATAGAAAAGTTCAAGCAAAAATTTGGATAGAAAATTTGAAAAAGCCAAAAAGAAACATTTTAAAGATTTGTTGACCCGAAAATGAAGACAGATTTACACAGCGTGGGTTTTTTCTACAACTATGTTAATTATTATTATTTGTCCCTTGGATTTAGAATCGACTGTAAACACACGCCGTAAAACATACTCTTCTCGATTGTATTGTATTCCTCGTTGTCTTTTTCCGGCTGAATACACGACTGAGCTAACAAGCTTTCATTTATTTTCTAAATAATCTCTCGCATGACAACCCTTCAGATAATCAACTAGTTCCTAACAATTCTGATTTCACTGACTGGCTCTGATTGTGATGATGACATCCAGCGCGGTATATTCACACTGTGCGCGTCAAATCGATCTCTGTTTATTAGATTTTTGTGAAGAACCAACATCAGTTAGAGCGAGATTATTGACAAAGCAGTAAGGAACAGTAGGGATGGATATGTTTCATCCCGAAATTAACCAACAAGAATTGGCTTACTTAAGTGATCGATGTACTTCAACACTATGGTGTACCTCAAGTCTTTATCAACTTTAATCAACAGCTGACTATGTGACGATGATGGCACAGGTCTAGCGATCCACAACAGGAAACTCAGCAAAGCCAGTGAAGTGAAGACTCGATTAAGACAAGGCTGTCTGTTATCACCCATGATGATGATATTCCCAATTGTGGTGGACTGAATTATGCGTCGGACTGTGCGTGGGCAGAGGGACTGAAAAAAAATCACTCCCGATGATCTGATTTTACCGGCGACCTATTTTTAATTTCATACAAACTCGAAGACTTGTAAGTGAAAACCAACACACTGGTAATGTGGTCAGCAACGAAGACAGGACTTTAAATGAACATAGGAAAGATACGAAGGTGATGAAGATGCCCGCCGACCAACAACAACAACAGAAATCAGCATCAACGGCACATATGTGAAACAGATCACTACCTGCCTTCACTTATCTAGGAAGCGCTGTTTCAACCACAGGCGACAGTACGAATGAAGATGTCAAAAACAGCCAGTCACACAGACAAGATTAGAAAGGTCAGATCCGCCTTCACCAATCTCGAATCAGTTTGGAAATCTTCACTCCAACTCACCGATAAACAACAAGATTCGCATTTTCAGCACCAATGTTAAGTCATTGTTTCTATATTTGGTCAGAAACTTGACCATCGCGTCACGAAAAGCATCTCCAACAGCCAACCACAGATTTCTATCTACAAATGACTTCGCTTGCTCCATATTGGCGATCAAATGGTCAGCCGACCAGAAAGAACTAGCGACGAGGAACTCTGGGGACAAACAAACAAACAAACACACCAAGAGGCGAATGCTTTTGGCTGAAGATTGATTGGTTACATGTTTAGGAGACCGTCAAATGACATCTCACCAAATGCAGGCCATAGCTCGAGTGGAATCTGAATAGGAAGAAACGAGTGAGTTGTAGGTGCGAGAGTGACATGGAGATCGTGCGAGGAGGAGATGACAGCTTGCGGAGATTCGTGAGGTCAGCTGAAGAGGACTGCAATGAACAGGGTGAAATGGAGATATGCCACTGAAGCCGAAGGGAACAATAATAATAAGCGACCTATGTCTGGTCTAGAAATAAACCAATCAGAATCAGCCTTCGTGAATTAAAACATCCACTGCTTTATTGATCGCCTGGGTGATATTTCGAATTATACATGATTATTGCATATTGAAAAAAATACTTTGTAGCCCACAACGTTTACCGAAAATTAACATTACGCAAATAAACATAATCCATCAGTCAGCTTATACGTGACCGCACGCGTTAACCAACTTACTGTCTATCTAAAATTCTGTATACTGATTTAAAAACTAGGTGATATGAAAATTTAGCAAACAAACCCATTTAAATAAACATTATATATGGTATATACTTCATTTAGAGCCATTTCGTATTACTTATACAAAAACCAAACAAATAGATTGGTGAGAAATTTGGCCTAAATTATACACACAAGTGTGAGTGTAACATGAGACATGATAATCGACCATTGGAATAACATTAGTTGAAAACTGTGATCCTACCACCACCACCACCACCACCCCCCAAGAAAACAATTTAGACATTGTTTAAACACAAAGTGAATTCTGTGTGACTGAGTGTTTATAACTGAACACACACAGAGAGAGAGTAAAGTTGGCATGAGACTTTCTCTCTTATTAATATTGTTCTCTTGGGTTTCAAATGGAATACAGGCCTTAAACTGCAAATCACCCTAGAGACACACACACAAAACCTGTCATATACCATTCGACAGATAGCCTGCATTGTATCCAATGTCAATGGACGGCCTCTTTGCTCAGCATATTCCCAATCTATCTCCATCTTCTTCTACACATTTAACGAGCAATCGTCTCTTAGTTTGTTTGTTTGTTCATTGTCACGGTTCCTCGTCGCTAGTTCTTTCTGGTCGGCTGACCATTTGATCGCCAATATGGAGCAAGCGAAGTCATTTATAGATAGAAATCTGTGGTTGGCTGTGTTGGAGATGCTTTTCGTGACGCGATGGTCAAGTTTCTGACCAATATAGAAACAATGACTTAACATTGGTGTTGAAAATGCGAATCTTGTTGTTTATCGGTGAGTCGGAGTGAAGATTTCCAAACAGATTCGAGATTGGTGAAGGCGGATCTGACCTTTCTAATCTTGTCTGTGTGGCTGGCTGTTTTTGACATCTTCATTCGTACTGTCGCCTGTGGTTGAAACAGCGCTTCCTAGGTAAGTGAAGGCACGAAGTGACCTATTTAAAATATCTACGGTTGATGCTGATTTCTGTTGTTGTTGTCGGTCGGTGAGAATCTTTACCAATCTTTATCTTTATCTTTGGATGCATCTGCGCCAGCCATTGACAACGATTCTCAGCCATATCACCAATTGTTTCCAACTATTGGTTTTTACCGTCCCGAGGACCCCAAACAGGAAGTCCTCACCTCCCTACGTGACTTCAACTAACTGTTGTGGATTTCATTGACTAATCAAGTCATGTTTTGGTCTAACCACCACTGGCGAACTCTTTCCCAATCTGACCCTATGTCAGCTAACATCTCCCGTTGGCGAGGAAGGCGATGGCTAGGCATGCATGCGTAACACATATCCTAACCATCTCAGTCGATGTGACCTCACAGCCTCATCTATTGATTTCCCCTCCTTACCTAGCACTCCACCGATGCCTCACCTCAATATTGCCCACCCTATATTATACCACTTCACACGGGAGATAGAGAGCAGACACCTATGATCAAAGACAGCTAGCCAAGGTTTTCCAAGGTCTTCCACTCTCAATGGCCACGTCTCACAGTCATAAAGGAGGATGGAGCAGACTGCTGAGCAGAGATCAACCCGTTGGTGTTGGTTTATCCAACTTCCTAAATAAGTGAAGTGGTCAACGCGCTCCACCAACCACTCCACTCCCCATTTACAAACTAGGAGTCAGTGTAGTCCAGTCAAGTCCTGTAACATCATCTTACATTTGGCGGGAGAGAATCGCATGCTAAACATTCGTAGATTGCAGCTCAAGGTGCTCAGAAGACTCCTCTGGATTTTATCAGCGTCCTCGCCTAGAACGACTATATCATCTGCATATTCTAAGTCAACCAGATTACTCCCTGGTACCATGTCAATCCCTGAATCTCTGAAGTGAGTGAGTAAGGGCTAATTCCATTAGTACATTTATGATTAAATTGAATAGAAATGGGGACGCTGGGTATCCCTGACGGACACCACTAGCCGTCACCACTTCAGATGACAACTCGCCGTAAGCTCTCACCTGGCTCTGATGGCATGAGTTCGAGTAGAGTGACTTGGTCAGTGCAATGTATTTTCTCTGCATTCCCTTCACAGCCAAGCACTGTCATAGTACTTCTCGGTCGACAGAATCGAATGGCGCTTTCAGGTAAGTCAAGAAATATAACGATGGTTGGACGCCATCTCTCTAACTGATATGAGCAGTTCATGATCAAACCGGTAAACCAATCAAATTCGTGAAAATCAATATTTGAAAATAAATGTACTTTATTACCACTTACTGTAACCACTAAACCATGTGAATCCATCATATAAATACGTGATTTAGCTTCAGCTTCGGAAAGACCCTCTTCCATGATTGCTTGAACTAACAATCGTGCTACACCAATTGCAGCCTACAAATATAAAATGTAAAGAAACTATGAAACAAGAGAATTATTAATGTTATGGTTACTATTAACTAATCAGTGTACTTTTGTGGAGCTAGATTTGTCGGCTGTACTCAGACTTTTTATGTCCAATTGTTTAATTCGCCTCATGTCTACTTTGGAACACACTACTTATGGATTCTGGACACTAAGTGAACTCCGATATGAGAGAATATAGGAATCTTGCCCAAGGCGAGTACGAATAAAACTTCTGCGAACCGAAAAAGCCATTGTTATTTTTATTGCCATTGGGTTCCAAGTGGAACATAGGGGCTTCAACAGAACATCTTCCTTGAATCCTGTCTTCTGCTTTACTCTTTAGCTGGCTCCACAATTATCTACAAGCTGTCATCCGCCCATTCCAATCCCCACAGTCACACGATCTTTGCCATGTCACCACCTCGAACAGACGCCTAATTTGTCGTCTCCCATTGAGATTACATTCGAGTGATGCGGTGGCGTGTGCTATCACACAACAGTCTCGTCAGAGTCTGAGCCTGACTAATCTCTATCTTCTTCGGAGTATTTCTTGGGCGATAGGTTCTCTGTTGGCTCGTATGAAGCCAATAAAGGCACCTGATGATAAAAGTCTCTGCATTAGGCTGTTGTAAATGGATTCGGTGACACACCATGCCAAGTCTCTGAAAATATGAATCCTGTTCTATATGCTGAGTGTAGTAGATTTCTACAATAATTTTAGATTAATAAAGATTTGTCTTTCTTTTTCCATCATGACTTTGATATTGTCATCAACGCTGTCTTCGCTGTGTTCACTTGAAGACCGGTGTTTGCTGCTAGCCTTCCCCCAGACAACGTGTCGGCTTTCTCACCTGCAGACCTCCTAGATGATTGTATGATACCTAAAAAAACAAATAAGATAAATCACCCGTGGATTTCAAATCTTCTAGTTTTTCTATAGGCTTAAGGTGTTATACTGTTCTCGCTTCTTTCGAAAGACTGATGTATGATCGAGGTCGTTACACATTCAGGAACTATATTAAGTGATAGTTGACAGGCTAGTAGTCATCTTGCTCCCGCCTAACTTATTTCTGGTGGATGGGATAATGCGTCAGACTGTACGTTGGCAGTCAGTCACTAAGTGACTGAGAAGACAGGAATATGCTGTACTGACCGATAGGAAGACTTTAGGAGATCTAGATTTTGCGTGCAGATAATTTATGTTTAATATCACACACACACACACACACAAACACTGGAAGACTTATAGGTGGAAAACAACATATTTGCGCAAGAGGCAGGCAGGCAGCAAAGACTGGTGGACCTCAGGTGAACATAGCGAAGACGGAGGCGGTGAAGATAACCAACAAACAGCAACTACAACAAGCAGCACCAGCATCGTTTCAACCACAGGCAGTTTGAACATATGAAGATATCAAAACCAGCCAGACAGAATCGGAAAGGTAACATAGGCCTTCAACAAAATCTGAAATAAGTTTGGCGATATTCCACACTCCACCTAAGCATGAAGAACAAGATTCGAATTTTCAACACAAATGTGAAGTCAGTCAGTAAGTGCGCTTTTCTGTATGTGTCAGAATCTTGTCCATTGCATCACTATAAGCATTTCAAACAGCCATTTGCAAACCTGTATCAACAGCTACCGCCTTTGTTGGCTGACTTCACAGTGAAGATCAAATGGCCGGCCGCCAGCCGGCTGGTCAGAAAGAACTAGCAACAAACCAACCAATAGCCGATTGTTGAACAAATATACAGGAGAAAATGGAGATGAATAGGGCATAATTTCGCGCTCAAAGCAAGCTATCGCTCGAGTGGAAATCCCAATGGGAAGCGACGCGTGGGTGACAAGGAGGAGGTCTTGCGAAAATATGGAGGAGGAGATGGGAGATAATGGGCGATCGTGGGGTCAAACAGATGAAGAGAGGAAAGCAGAAAATAGTAGAAAGTGGAGATGTGTTGTTGAAGCCCTATATTCCCTCCAGGAACCCAGGCGAGTAATAATAATAAACAAAACAAAGCACTTTTCCCTGTATGTCACGTGACTACAACTAAAAGCAAGTATTAATTCAAATCAAGCGTATCACATGAGAAAGGATATAAAAGTGTTCATACTTTCAATTCATATAACGTCGGCTTACAGATAATGAATCACATCCGAAAACAAAAGCAACCACAATCCAAATGATTTCACCAAAAGTCTTCAGTAACATCAGTTAAGGACTAAGGGGCAATGATGTGTACTGATTTCGGATGAGTACTTTTGAAAGAGTTAAACAGTAGGTACTGTGGCGTGGCGTGTATTACGGATAAGATTTTAATGCAGACTTATTGAGAAAGTAGACAAAGTTGAAATCAAACATTTTAATTCAATCAATGGATGTATTCTAGTAGAAGTGTTTATTCCGCGAATCTGGATCTAGTTTATTTTGTGGACACATGAGTAGAAGTAATCCCACTGGACAACCTTGCTTCACTTTGGGTCAATTACCAATTAATCAGAACAATTGTATTCTCCTCTGACATACGCGAACTTTACTTTGGCTAAGAATGTATATGTCTTCTTTTAATAAAGATCCGTTACCAATTAACTTGTCTTTTATCGTTACAGTTCTACAGTGCCATATATATTTCCCGCGTACTGATAAGTTTTTTGTAGCGATTTTTCGAATAATGTTAGCTAGCCCTACGCTCATTCTTCTTCTCTCATTCTCCAGGCTTAGGATCAGTTATTGAACTAGGGAACTAGTAGATATAGGGGGAATTTGAAAGAAGTCACTTCTTTCACTTTTCTAGGCAGCAGCACAGATGGGGATGTCAAAGGCAGGGAAGACTGACTGACTGACTGACTGACCTTCACTATTACTATGAAATCAGGCTCCTGCCTGATACTGATAGTCAAACTGATTAGAGGTGTTATTAAGACAGCCTGCATACTATCTCTGGCACAGTAAGACAATATCGTCTGCATATCCTAGGTTGAAAAGCATTTCTTCGGGAAGCAGAAACTATGCGATGACTTTGAACTCAATCACACTGGTCAAACCAATAGATTGGAGTCAACTAGATTATCGGAACATAGCAAATATAGGTAGACCTAGAATTATTGACCAAGTTAAATGATCTAGGAGAAAAATCCTAGTCATTGGCAGTGTATTCACTTACACGTAACCATATCATCGGAATAGGGACAGGGATGAATTATTGAAAGATAATATGTGTTAAAAACAGAACATCTCTCTCTCTCTCTCTCTAGCTTCTTCACACACACACACACACACAAACTCACTAGTAGAGGGAATAAAATTCACATTTGAATCGGAAAAAGAAAAAAGGAGAATTAGCCATGATGTGTTAGATTGTAAAATCAAACGAATAGAAGAAGGCAAACTAAACATTGGTGTTTATAAAAAGCCAACGCATTCTGCTAATAGATATATTTAGACTTGAGTTCATTTCATCCGTTCGTTATCTGTCTGTGTGAAGGCAGGCTTGGTTAAATATCAAAAAAAAAGAACCGAGCAATAGCACTAAGTACTACAACAAAAAACTCGAAAGATAAAATGAAACAGATAGAAGAAGCGTTGGTGTCAAATAACTAACTTTCCTATAAAATTCATTAGGAAGATCTGAAAAGGTTGAAAGCAAAATATTATTAATAGGGAAACTAATAGTGAAAATGTAAATATGAGAGAATGTAAAGCATCTACAGTTCTACCACATAATGAAGGAGAGGACATCTGAAACCTTACGCAGGATTCTCATTAAAGCAGAAATTAGGATGGCATTCAAACCTAAAAACTCACTCAGAGACAAGCTCTGTAGGCTAAAAGACCCGATGGACCCAATTAAACAAAATACTATAATTTACAAAATGCCTTACAATGCCTTATATATATATATATATATATATATATATATATATATATATAGGTAAGTTAAACTAGTAGATCAGGCAGGAGTAGTGGGATTGGCTGTCAGAACATAACAATTTAACTATGGTGCATGCAACCCATAGGGGAAAAAATAATCTGCACTGAGCAAATATCTCGATACCCCAAAAATTGTATCATAATTATAAAAGTCATGGTTTATGAGTTTATCAAGCGAGTAATGAACAATTCTACAATACATTGGTAGACAGAATGACCGCGACATTTGGAGGATATATTATATGTATACATATGCTATTCTAAGTAATGAAAACAAGACAAGGGAAGATAATTAGGTCAATGAGATTTACTGACATGGCAAACCCACACACACACACACACAGAGGAATCCATTTTAGGTTATATATTATTAATATTATTGTTTCCTTTAATTCTTATAGGAATATAGGACTTCAACCGTATGTCCCCATTGCGTTCAGATCTCTACCAACATTTTCACCTGGCTCCACATCTGCACTTCACATGACCTCCTCCATGTCACCCCACCCTCGCAATGACGACCAACTAACCCACCGCTTACCATTCGGGTTTCTCTCCAGAGCCTGGTATGCGACGTCACACAATTGACGGTTTTCTTAGAGTATGGTCAATTTACCTCAATTTCTTCCTGTATAACTGTTGCACGATCGGATCCTGCTGAGTTGGTTGGTTCATTGTCAGAGATTTTTCCCTGTTGCTGATCCTTTCTAGCCGGCCATCTGATCTTGAGTGGTATTGAGCGAAGACAGATGTTGATGAAGGTCTGTAGTTTGTTCGGAGTGCCCTTCGTGACGCGGTGCGGCACCAAGTCTCTGATCCATATATAGTAGCACTGACTTCATATTGGGGTTGAAAATCCAGATCTTACTTTTCATGCCAAGTGCTGTCGACCTCCACAAAGACTTGAGAGTAACGAACGCTTGTCTTTCTTTCCCGATCCTTGCTTTGATATCCTGGTCAGTTCCGCCTGTAGCCGGAACGATGCTTCCTAGGTAGGTAGGTAGTTAGGTCGGTAGGTAAGGGAGGTTGCTTCTTTCAGATTTCTCCTATTTATGCTGATTGTTGTATGTTGTTGTTGCCGTTGGTGATTCCCAGGAATCATCACCTCTGTTTTCTCCATGTTCACCTGAAGTCCTATCTACTCTGGATGCTTCTTCTGCCAACTTGTTGCTTTTCATCACTTGTATATCTTACAGTTTGTGGGAAATCAGACTTATATCATCGGGGAAGTACAGATCCTCCAAGTTTTTTTGTGAGTCCATTTTATGCCTGTTTCCTCATTTCCCGCTGTCTGTCGCATTATCCAATCTACCGCAATCAATAAAGTCATTGGAGATAGTAGGCAGCCAGTCTTGTCTTACTTCCGTATTCACTTCGAAGGATCCCGTGAGTTTCCTGTTGTCGATTACTTGGCATGCAGCGTTGTCGTACAACTGTTGGATGAGATGTATAATTGTCGGCCGCACCCCGTAGTAGCAAAGTAGTTGCCAAACCACTTCTCGACCGACTCTGTCTGCTGAAGGCCTTTGCAAAGTCAGTGAAGTTCAGATAGAGAGCTGACTGCCATTCCAAGCGCTGTTCAGTGATGATCCATAGTGTTGCGATTTGATTGATGCATGACTTGTTCCTCTTGAATCCAGCCTGTTCCGGTCGAAGTTTTTCATCTAGGGCTTGTTTGATTCTCTCCAGGATGATGCGGCTTAGTATTTTATTTGGGATAGACAGGAACATAATGCCGCGCCAGTTCTTGCATTGACTTACGTCTTCTATGTGTGACAGTTTAAATGAGTAGCCTTTCTTCCAATCCGCAAGTACCTTGCCCTCTTTCCACACCTTCTATTGCAGTGGTGTCATCACGTCCGCTGATGACTCTGAGTTCATTTTCAATGCTTCCGCGAGGATTCTGTCTGGTCCTCCAGCTTTTAGCATCTTTATTCCCTTCAGGATTTCTGTTTTCGTCGGAGCGTTGATTTCCACTGGTATTTCTGCTTCCGCCGTTGGTATTATTGGGCACGTTTTAGGTGGCGGTCGATTTAGAAGTCTTTTGAAGTGTTCCTTTGCTCCACCTCTTTGATGACTGACTTCCCATTGTCATCCTTCACTGGCCTAATTTGCGTTGATCTCTTCCTCGATTGGAACCTAGTTGTTTGGCAGTGTTGCAGCTTGTTCTGCTTCACTTGCCATAGCTTCTTATATATATATATATATATATATATATATATATATATATATATATATATATATATATATATGTATATAGGTATTGTTGTGATCTAATACAAAAGGGGATGCTACTCCATTTGCGGGAAGATGTAATGTCAAATGTAATGACGTATGTCTGTGATGAAGTATTATCTCCTGCATCCAATTTCATCATGAGCTAATATCAATTAGAAAACCATTGGAAAACTAGCTGAGAGTACTGTCAGACATATGTTTCGTCAGCTGCCCAAATTTGGACTCTTCAGTAGTAAGCACCCACACCACCAGGGTTCGAACCCGGGACCTATCGGTTACAAAACGACCTCGTAAACTTTTAAACGAGTGAGATGCACCAATTTAATGGCCAGCCCATGAATATCCAATTCACGATATAGCACGACTGGCACTAGCCAATGTTATCGGTGGCAAGTATTTGTCCTAACACCCAAGTTTGTGTACCCACGACTGGTTTCATGGTTCTCTTGCCGATGTCAGCTCATAGTGATATCCTGAAACCAGTCATATCTCTGCAAACCAACACTTGGAAATGCGGTTAGAATTTCGAACCGATGTAGTCAATTCTTTCACTTATCTAGACAACATCGTTTCAACTACAGGCTGATAGAACGGATAAGAATGTCAAAGTCAGCACTGGAAAGAGATAAGACAAACCTTCATCAACTTGTAATTAGTGCGGAAATCGGCTTTAATCAACATATAAACAAAAAGATTGGGATTTTCAAATCAGTTAGTGCTTTTATATAGTTCAGAGACTAGGAGTGTCTATCACCAAAAGCATTTCGAAAAGTGTTAGACTGTCGCTGACAACCACCTTCACTAGTTGCATATTGAGGATCAGGTAATTAGAAAGGATAGGAATCAAAGAACTCTGAATAGCTGTTATTAGATGGTTAGAACCACCCATGAGCAAGGTGCATCTGCAATGTCTTGAAGGAAATTATGTCCCTCTCTGAGATTCGAACTCGGGTTACTCAGTGAGTACTCAAGTCAGAGGCGTTACTACTGAGCTATTCCGGTTGGCAATCGACCTCCTGAAGGACTGCATTTAGTCCTTTGTTTTCTGCAGACTGAATTCTATTAGTCAACTTTGCAATTTAGCCACCAACAGGCTAGGTGACTCGTCATCACGGTGAACCGAGAAGTGTTGTTGTTGTTATTATTATTATTAGATGGTTGGAGGCCACAGGAAGCCCTACCTAGACCTAAGTTTCGTTTTCGGTGGTAGTCATCAACCAGTCAGCAAGGTGTGTGTGTCTGTAATGTCTTGAGATTAGAACCAGTGTCACCCAGTGGTGGCGGTCCACTTAGCCTGTTGGTGGCCCCATTACCGACTTCAATTATGAAATTCAGCGTACATTAAACCACCAAGGGCAAGACGCATGACACTGGTTACTAGTTCAATCAAAGTATCAAACAACTCCGGTATAGAACCAAGCAACAAATACTACCCCAAGAAAATGGGGACAGATCGGAAACACACTGAAGAGCTCATTGAGTGGTGTATATAACGTGCCGGGCCATGACTCAAGTGGAAGGTAAATGAGAAACGACGAGTTAGACGTTGGATCGTGCGCATGAAGACGACTGTGTACGGAGAAGATGAAAGCCGCTTATAAGTAATCGTGGAGTCAACTAAAAGCCGACTGCAGAGACGACAGGATGAAATGACGATGTACTGTTGAAATCCAACGGTCCACTCGGAATCTAAGTGTACGTGTCAAACATCGATTTCGGAACAGTTCACACCAACTGAATGAATAGGTTAAAGCAACCTCTAAAGGAAACTAACGTGAAACAGGAAGACGCATAATAATTTCAAAAAACAACATCAGCATGCACCTATCATACGATAACATAACTTTCGTTCAAAAAAACAGAATTTCTCTAACAGGCAATTACAAGAGAAAATATACAACAAACAAATTAAGCAGTACAACATAATCCAAACGGAACATTGAAACATTTAACAAGGTAAATGCCTTGTAGGCATTTTATATTTACCGCCGAGTATTCTACATCATCAGTGGCCTATGTAATATAAAAATTTATGAGACAGTTTTAGTAAAACTCTTAAAAACATGTATAATTTACAGCGTTAAATAAAAGTAAAATTAACACACACACACACACACACACACACACAAAGCTATCTGACATAACACGTATGCCTGTCGCCTTTTCGTACTTCAGTAAACACGGATACAGAAGGCTCGTTCGACATTTTTCAGACAACTTGACTTACGCCATCTCTCTCTGACTTAATAGACGTGACATGCGGTTGGCTGGCTGGATGTCTATCGAAAAAAGAGCGTGTGTACTGCTCAACAGCCCACTCCCCCCTTTTATGGCTAGCTGGCTGACTGTAAGACAAAGCAATTGAAAGTGGAGGCTATGAAAAGGCTACCTAGCTAGCTACCTATGATCATAGGTGTCTGAGTTCTATCTCCCGTGCTAGGTAGGTGGTGGTAGATGTTACAGCGTGAGCAATATAGAGGTAAAGCATAGATCGAGTGCGTGATATGGAGGGGAAATCAATCGATAATGAGGTTGTGAAGCAGTTACACCGATTCAGATGGTCAGGACATGTGTTACGCTTTACGCCTAGCCATTGCCTTCCTCTACCGACAGGCGATGCTAAGTGCTATACTATCGATCAGGTTGGAAAAGAGCTAACTAGTGTTGGTGAAATTTTGTACATTTAAAGCTCTCTATGAATTAGAGTAGAGCCTGAAGAAAATCTAACTGAAAACAATAAATATTGTTAGCTTATATGTTTTGTTCTGATATTCAGGAATGCAAAACTCCAGAAATATTACACATAGATAATAATAATAATAATAGAGATAAAAGATTGAGAAATTAACGAGAAACCTACCCCACCACTTCCATAGAATAGATAGACGTTCTGTGATAATCGTTTTCCTGTCTTTCTTGTGGAAGTTATCAGACCAGAGACAACAGTCACAGCAGAACCTAGTCAACAGACAAACACACGCACACAGACATCAAAATCAGTTATAGTCAAAGTATGATGTGTAAATATTTAAAGTCAAAAACACTAGGGAATAACGGTCTTCTCTCATGCAAAGGTTATTTGAACCTATGGAATACTATTGGGCTGGACATTTGCATATTGCATACCTGTTCCATTCCAATAATCAATAACTATCAGGTAGATTTAAAATCCCATGACCTGTGGGGCCTAAGGTTACGGTGAGCTGAAGTTAAAAGTTATATGTGCGTCGGCGGCACAGTGGTTAGGACTTTCGCCGACCATGCACTTGGTCCGAGGTTCGATCCCCTACCGACGCACACCCGATATCTATGGTCGGCCTGCAAAATTAGGGCTACCGATAGCCATGCTGAAAATTCCATACTTGTATACAGTGTGGAATCAAGCTGTAAATCAATATATATATATATATATATATATATATATATATATATATATATATATATATATATATATATATATATATCATTCTGCATAACAGACAGGTGATTAGTAATAACTACTACTGAAATAAGTAGTGATATCTCACCAACGCTATAATCTATCATATAAATGAATTGATAGAATTAGTGTCACTGAAATGCATTTGGATTATTTGAAAGCGCTTCCATTTCCATTCGCTTCAACTTCAAAACCTGACAGACTATAGATAAACTTCTTAGGATGTTTTGGGCATCCGCAATACAATTTCTGCTATGTCAAAGATATGTACTCAGTTCTGCTAGAGATCTTGAATGCAACTGATAAACTTGATTCGGTAAACTATACTCCAACTACTAACTACTTCATCGAATGACAAGGCTTCAGATCTCAATGTTCAAATAAGCGATTCTGGTGAGTAATAGTAATAAGTCGAGAGAGAGAGAGAGGTAGATAGTTTGTAAGTATGTAGTGATTTGATGAGTTAGTGAGGAAAGCAGTGAGAGTGAAAGCATTCATCATTAAAAAAAAAATTCACCCGAGTTAATTTTTTGTGGATAATCTGCGACAAATGATCATCATCAAGTGATTTCGGTGACTTCAAAGATCGTGGAGGAATGAGATTTTTCAGAAAATTCATTCATTCATTGTCCTTTATGAGTTTGAGAATAAAGCAAGGACAACGGGTTCATGTGATTATGTAGTGTTTGGCTTTAATCTCTACCTCCCTCCTCCTTTCGCTAAAGCCTAACTTTCCTTGTCTCTTGTTTCTATGACCTGAGTTGAACCCACCACATTTATTAGTTAGTAATCTTATTAGTTACCCTTGTAGTTATTAGGCAATTCCTTTACCATTGTATGTAAGCGCTAATTTTCTGTTTAAACTTGAACTTTCTGCTGATAAGCTATAAAAGTGTGACTGATTTACTAACTGACTGGATTCAAGAAAGCACTTTGGACAGTTCGAGTTGCCACACTCCCTCCACGTATCACACAAAGCAACAGAAAAGAGATTCAAAAGAGAGAGAGAGATAGTAAACAGAAGTGTGAGTGAGGCGAAAAGAATAGTAATATGGAGAAAGTTTTATTCGATATGATAAATCACAAAGAGTGATTGCATCCGCGCAGACGCCAGATATCACCAAGAGCAATATTCAGCCACCGACTGTCTCCAACCTACATTAATGCCTACGATTCAGAAGACTCCAGCCAGGCGGTCAGGCACTCTACACCTACATGGCTGGCTGGCTTAAACTAACTGTTTTAGATTTCGTCGACTGATGAAGCCATGTTTCGGTTTGACCACTGCTCTTTTTCAACCTGATCGTATCTCGGCTAAATAAGTGTAATTTCTGAGCACTATTTATTAGTTTTACAGTCTCCCATCAATCGATATTTACGAAACATTGTCCTGTACGTAAACTTAAATAATTTCTTTAGCCTGTACACAACTGATGAGAAGCTCACAAAATATACGCGATGGCCTCATCTTAGTCAGCACAAACCAAAGTTGTTGTTGTTGGTGGTGGTGTAAATTATTTTATCTAATTTTGTGTAAGTTCAGTAACAATGATTTTGTGAGCGAATTCGAAGATTCCAGGCTTCAACAGTACATCTGCATTTCATTCTGTCTCTTGCAGTCCTCTTCATCTGGTTCCACGGTTTTCATTTTTATGTACTAGAAGCATACACCTTAAGAAAACAATCTGATGCATGGAACAACTTGACCAGTCGACAAAACCTAACAGACTTTTACTTAGTACTTTTTAGAAGAAATACTACTATTATAGACACGTGTCTACAAATCATTATTATTATTATTCTCATCATCTTTTTCCCATGAGTTCCGAATAGTACATAAGGCTTCAGTAGCCTATTGGCGTTTCATTCTATTCTGTGTGCAATCATCAGCAGATAGTCTAGATCCACGATTGCTAATAAGCTCCTATCTCCTCCTCAAACGATTTCCATCATGTATGTCACACTCGGATCAACGCTTAACACCGCCTTCCACTCAAGAGCCGGCCTGACACATAAAAATCAATCACTCAACAGTGTCTTTTCTGTGCATGTGTGTTTAATCTATTTGCATTTTCTACACAGCATATATATTCGTTGGCCTATGGGTTCTTGGCACTTTTCTTCTGCATAGTTTTTTAGTTACCTATCTCTTTTTCAGTCAGCCATCTTATCTTCCGTATGCAGCCAGTGAAGCGGTAACTGCTTATATAATAAAAGTCGGAATCGGGATTCGAGCCTCGGTGGGAATACCATCATTCACTGGGGAGTGCAGATGCATCCAGTTGACGAGTTCAAAAAGGACGAAATGAGCATCGTGGATTCCACCAATGCTAGTCATTATCCACCAATTGACTTCAAGTTACAAAACTAGACATTGTCCGTGCATCTGCATAAGGAGCCGACAGAGCAATCTGGTTGAATCAATCGATGGGAAAATAATCGAAATTGAATGAAGTCTGAATCCTTTTGATAACAGACGTGTCAAATCTTTGAACTATGCGCAAGCGATCTGACTCAACATTGGTGTTGAAAATCCAAATTTTGTTCCTTATGCTGATTCAGAAAGATTTCCAAAATTACTTCAGAGGAAGGGATGTCTGTTTTGCTTTCCCAATCTTGACTTTGAGATCCTATGTTATATATATATATATGTCCAAACCAAGATCACTTTTAACCGTTTGAAAGAAAAAACTTTGGGCATCGGATATACGATATATTGATTATTATAAAAGTTCTTTTTGTATTTCCAAGTGAATGAAAAACAAAACGATATTGTCGATTTTACTGACGACGTTTCACTATTTAATGCTGTCGCTGCTAATGGCTTTATCATCAAAGGATTAATATTAAACTAGAAGAATTTACAAAATCCACTCAGCTTATATATGTACACATGACAACTTAATCATCGTTCATCAGCATGGTGGGTAATTCTGTTTACGTTGTTGTCAACTGGTAAAGATAATAAAACCAGGTGTAGATTGTTGGATTTGATAAGCGTATACAAATATACAAAAGCAGCATGTGTTTGCATAATGACATTGCTTATCACATCCGTGTTGATTTTGTCATTTCATAGGGGTTCAGGTGGGGGTGTTGTAACCAGGTCAAATTCTATTTTAGTCTATTATTCCTATTCAGTTCAGACAATTTGGATTCCATCCATTTGATGATGTAGAGTGCTTCTGAGCATATGAGACGGTTTTTTGTGATTTCCCGAACTATTTCTGGATGATTATTTCAACATCGTCAAAATCAATTTTCTAACCTGATTGATTCTATAGCGTAGCGTAGCATGTAGACGACTAATGGTTGATGATTTTTCAAGCTTTCTGGTTTATCAACTGGATTTATTTCTCGGTGGTCAGAGAGATGCTCTACGGCGTAACCTCTTTTAAAAATTTCTCCCACTGACAGTGATTGGTGTTTGTTATTGCTGTGGTTGATTTGGTCGGTTGGTTATCTTCATCACCTCTGTCCTGTCTATGTTCACTTGAAGTCCACCGGTCTTCCCTGACAGGCTCTTCTGCCAATGTTTTGGTTTTACAAAGTCTATATCTTCCATAGAGTCAACTTATCAGTTCAATGTATTCCTGTCTTCTCAATAAACAAACCAGTCGGTCTAAATTTATTTTTTTTTTGTCAGGTACAACTAGAGATGCGAAAACATACCAGAACAAGAGATAGATAAAAGATCATGTCTCTGACACTGAGACAACAGTGCCTATTTGAGAACATGTTGACCACTTCACCTACTTGGGAAGTTGTATTAGCACCAACGGATTGATTGGCGATGAAATCTCAGCACGGATCCAAAAAGCTCAAGCTGCTTTCGCTGACTTACACCATCTCTGGCGTAGGCGTGACATCCGGCTGGCTATCAACCAAGGGACGTGTGTACCGCTCAGCAGTTCGCTCCGTCCTTCTCTATGGCTCTGAAACATGGCCAATACGAGTTGAAGACATGAAAAGGTTGACTGCTTTCGATCATAGATGTCTGCGATCTATGTCTCACGTTAGGTGGTTTCACAAGATAAGTAATGTTGATGTTAGGCGTAGAGTGTTGGGCAAAGAGGGAAAATCAATCGACGAGGCTATAAAGTTACATAGACTAAGATGGCTAGGTCACGTGCTGCGCATGCCTAACCACCGCCTCCCCCGACGGGCTTTGCTAGCTGATATAGGTTCAGGTTGGAAAAGAGCCAGTGGTGGCCAAACAAAAACATGGCCTCATCAATCCATGAAATCCTTGACAGTTAAACTGAGTCAGGTAGGGAGGGAGATGCAGACTTCCCGGTTGGGGCCCTCGGGACTGACTCTAGGAATCAATGGCTGGAGACAATAGGTGACATGGCTCAAAATCGTTGTCAATGGCCAGCGCAGATGTATTCAGTCTCTGTAATCTTTCATATTCCTTTCTACCATTACCCATTCTGTTCCGCTCTTATACTTGTCAAACTCTATTAATTCTCTTCACTCATCTTCTTGTCTACCTCTGTGGGCTATTTGGAACGTGGCAACTCGAACTGCTGCACTTCGGTGCCAAGTTCTATGTTGAATCCAGACAGACAGATTTGAGATATAATCAATAGGAAATGCATTTATCCATAATTATTCTGGCATTTAATCATGAATTGACATATGTGTTAGAGAACCATTGGAAAACCTGCAAGCAGTACTTACCCGTGGTACCAGCTTATTCGTCCACCTAGTTTGGGACTGACTCTTCAACAGTACGCACCCAGTGAAGTTTGAACCCACAACCTTCTGGTTACAAAGCATAACAGCTCATAGACCATTAAGTCACTCTCTGGGACCCAATCCAATCGCGCCCATCATCCATGAATTGCAACTTCTGTAAATTCACGATATGGCGCGACCACTAGCGAATATCAACGCTGGCGAGTATTTGTCCACCCACCCACACGCGACCTGTTGTACCCCACTGGCTATAACTTACCACTAGAACCCAGATAACTAGTGAGCGTTAGATTGATATTCAGTTGTCTGGCAGTACTGTCAGCAGATTTTCCAATGGTCCTCTCTAACCGACATCAGTTCATGATGAAATAAACAAAATAAATCAAATCCCTCCAAACCAACACACTTGAATATAATCATTTTTCTGAGTAATTTTATAACCCTGTGTACTTACCTTGTATATCATCATTGAATGTTATATAATTAGAACGATATCGTTCTAAAAGTTGGAAAGCGTTTGAAGTTTTAAAGTCAGCGAAATGCAGACAAACATTTGGTCCATAGCTAGAAGATTTATATGAATATATACATTAGTATTAATATTATCATCATTATTATTATTATTATTGCAGTTGCGAACTAAAATTATTAATATAACATACTGTGTAGATAATGCTTCAACCACTTCATCCATAAACGAAATATACTCTTCGCCAGTTGCACGTTTTCTTCGTAGACCAACATAAAATTCATCCTAATGCGAAAAAAAATTACAAGCGTACATAAGAGATGACGATTTATCAGTAGGTGAATATTAAATATATATGTCATTGCTATACGTAACACCAGAAAAAAACTATTTACACTTAACAGGGAAACAGGTGGCAAAAGGCAAACGATAAGTGAAACTGTCTCCGAGAAAAATCGCACCATAAATAGGCTGGCTCTCAGGATAGACGTCTGTCTGTCTGTCTGTTTTCGACATAGAACTTTGAACGATGTGCATCAGTTCAAGATGCCACACAAAGCAAGAGAAGAAAGTAAAAAGAAATGCATAATAGAGACAGTAAACAGAGGTGAGTCATATCACCAATTGTCCCCAGCTACTGGTGTCTACCGTCCCGAGGACCCCAACCAGGAAGTCCTCACCTTCCTACGTGACTTCAACTAACTGTTGTGGATTTCATTGACTAATCAAGTCATGTTTTGGTCTAACCACCACTGGCGAACTCTTTCCCAATCTGACCCTATGTCAGCTAACATCTCCCGTTGGCGAGGAAGGCTATGGCTAGGCATGCATGCGTAACACATATCCTAACCATCTCAGTCGATGTGACCTCACAGCCTCATCTATTGATTTCCCCTCCTTACCTAGCACTCCACCGATGCCTCACCTCAATATTGCCCACCCTATATTATACCACTTCACACGGGAGATAGAGAGCAGACACCTATGATCAAAGACAGCTAGCCAAGGTTTTCCAAGGTCTTCCACTCTCAATGGCCACGTCTCACAGTCATAAAGGAGGATGGGGCAGACTGCTGAGCAGAGATCAACCCGTTGGTGTTGGCTTATCCAACTTCCTAAATAAGTGAAGTGGTCAACGCGCTCCACCAACCACTCCACTCCCCATTTACAAACTAGGAGTCAGTGTAGTCCAGTCAAGTCCTGTAACATCATCTTACATTTGGCGGGAGAGAATCGCATGCTAAACATTCGTAGATTGCAGCTCAAGGTGTCCAGAAGACTCCTCTGGATTTTGTCAGCGTCCTCGCGCCTAGAACGACTATATCATCTGCATATTCTAAGTCAACCAGATTATTCCCTGGTTACAAGTCAATCCCTGAATCTCTGAAGTGAGTGAGTAAGGGCTAATTCCATTAGTACATTTATGATTAAATTGAATAGAAGTGGGGACAATCGGCATCCCTGACGGATAGCACTAGTCGTCACCATTTCAGATGACAGCTCGCCGTAAGCTCTCACCTGGCTTTGATGGCAAGAGTTCGAGTAGAGTGACTTGATCAGTGCAATGTATTTTCTCTGCATTCCCTTCAAACCTATCGGTCCACAGAATCGAATTCCGCTTTCAGGTAAGTCAAGAAATATAATGATTGTTGGACGCCGGTAGGAATGCCTATGTTCTAGAATCTGTCGAAGGGTGAATATATGATCAATACACCCTATTCTTGGTCTAAAGCCTGCCTGGCTCTCTCGTATTTGTGCCTCCGAGCATCACTTAGTCTACGCATGATAATCGACCCTAGGACTTTAGATACTATATTAGTCAAGCTAATCTCTCTGTGATTACCACAGGAAGACTTGTCTCCCTTCTTGTATATAGGGATAATCAGTGACGTACACCAGTCTAGTGGGACTATAACTGACTTCCAGACACTGTCTAGTGCTTTGGTTAACCCAAATAGCAATCTGTCACCAGTATCCTTATACACCTCAGGAGTCGTTCCATCAGGTGGCACTGCTTTGCCTCGTTTCAGACTAGTGATGGCTTTTGTAGCCTCAGTTAGGGACGTAGGAAGATAATTCATACTGTGATAATCACAGGGGGATTAGCTTGACCAATATGGTATCTAAAGTTCTAGACTGAGTAATCATAGACTAAGCGGAGCTCGTGAGAAACAAACACGAGAGGACCAGACAAGATTTAGGCCACGACGAGGGTGTACTAATCGATTATATCTTCACCCTTCAGAAGATTCTGGAGCATGGGCATACTTACTGGTATCCAACAATCATCATATTTCGTCTTCGTCGACCGAGACATAATAAGGCGCTGTTTGGCCGTGAAGTAAATGCCGAGAAAATACATTGCACTGATCAAGGCACTCTACTCAAACTCATGCAGTCAGCCAGCCAACCAAGTGACAGCCTACGGAGAGTTCTCATCTGACAACTCTGATGACAATCAATGGTGTCCGTCCTACATATGCCCACTGTCCCCATTTCTGTTTAATTTCACCATAGATGTACCCTAACTGACTTCAACGACTTAAGGATCGACTTGTTACTTGACCAGGGAATAATAGTATCGTTAGCTTAGAATACGCAGATGATATAGTCCTCCCAACTAGATGAAGACGCTCACAAAACAGAGCAGTGTTCAGAATACCTTGAGGTGTGCAGCAATCTTCGAATGTCTGGCATGCGATTCACTTCTGCTATCAAATGCTGAAGGAGTGAGCTATATTGACTCACTCCCAGCTTAAACATAGGGAGGAGTGAAGTGATATTGTTTTACGACCATTTCACATATTTGGGGAGTTTCATCAGCCAACGCCAGTGGGTTGGTCTGATCGCTGGCAAAAACTCAGCACTCATTCAGAAGGTATTTTTAATCCAACTTAACTTAACTATCTCTCTCTATGGCTTAATAGACGTGATATACGGTTGGCTTTTCGGCTATCGATCAAAGGACATGTGTACTGCTCAGCGGCAATTAGCTCTGTCCTCCTTTCTGGCTGGCTGGCTGACTGTGAGATATAGTCATTGAAAGTGGAATATACGAAAAGGATACCTAGCTAGCTGTCTTTCATCATACGTGTCTGACTTTTATCTTCCACGTTAAGTGGTAGGTGTAACACGGTGAGTGATATAGAGATAAAGCATCGATCGAGTGCTAAGGAACGGAAATCAATCGATGTGGTTGTGAAGCAGTTACACTGATTGAGATGGTTAAGACATGTGTTACGCATTAACTTACACCCAGCTGCTGACTTCTTAAATTAAAATAAACCATGAATCGCCTGCTGGTCTTAGATATGTGGGGTGAGTGTAAGCCGTCTGGCTGGAATCTTCTAGATAATAAGAATCAATGGTTGAAGACTCTTGGTCGTATGGCTTTACATTGGAGTAGGCAGACTTATGTGGGGACAAATAATTGCCGATGGCATTGGTCGGCGGTTCCGCCGCAATACATCGCGAATAAGCAGAAGTCAGAATTCGTGGGCCAGTGACTGAACGGGCTTACCTTGTAATCTGAAGGCCCTGAGTCTGATCCCTGAGAGTGGGGTCATGGACTTACTTACTTTTACTTTACTTCGGCTATCTCCTACGGGAGGATGAGCCGGCTTCATGAACGAGTTCATGAAGTTTCTTGGGAATTTGGTACGAGTGATGTCCCCAGCATCACTCGGCCTTTTGTTTGAGAGTGCAGCTCTAGCCTTTACACAGCCAAGTGTGACCTACAAGGCAGTAGGAGTGGAGTAGGGATCCCACTATCCATTGGCAGCCGGTGACCGGAGTTCGGTTCATATGCCTTTTTGAATGGGGCCAGACATCCAGGATATCCAACAAGCCCTTTGTCCATACGTCTGACGGTGAGCTCCGGTGAGCTTCATACGCCAGTCGTTGAAGGTTTGGAATCAGGGTTTAGCCATCTCCCCTAGACTGTCATCCAATGGACAGTCAACCCGGTGGAGAGCGCCGGGCATCCGCTTTTGCCCTCTCGCTTTAGTGAGAAACACCTCCACCACGTGAAGGCAGTGAGTAGGACTTCCTCAGGAGAGGCTATGTAAGACGCACGGTCATATGGGAGCATTTCAAGAGGTGTGCGGAGGGATGGCCAACCCGCAGCGCAAGACACCCACCCCCGACCATCCTGAGGCTTTGGGGTCATGGACACCTATTGCTGAAGGGTTCTAAGTTATAAAGTTACATAGACTAAGATGGTTAGGTCACGTGATGCGCATGCTTAACCACCGCCTCCCCCGACGGGCATTGTTAGCTGATATAGGTTCAGGTTGGAAAAGAGCCAGTGGTGGCCAAACAAAAACATGGCATCAATCCATGAAATCCTTGACAGTTAAACTGAGTCAGGTAGGGAGATGCAGACTCCCGGGTTGGGGCCCTCGGGACTCTAGGAATCAATGGCTGGAGACAATAGGTGACACATGGCTCAAAATCGTTGTCAATGGCCAGCGCAGATGTATTCAGTCTCTGTAATCTTTCATATTCCTTTCTACCATTACCCATTCTGTTTCACTCTTATATTTGTCAAACTCTATTGATTCTCTTCACTCATCTTCTTGTCTACCTCTGTGGGCTATTTGGAACGTGGCAACTCGAACTGGTGCACTTCGGTGCCAAGTTCTATGTTGAATCCAGACAGAGACAGAAGGGTTCTAAGCACTAGGAAAACAGAAACAGCTGTCCAGTACTCCCTACTGGTTTTTAAATAGTTCTCCAACTGATGCGCCGGTTTGTGATTAAACTTGGAAGAATTCGCCTCTATTTTTAATTTACATTAACAGATCTCTTCTTGAATTTCATGCTGGAACCACCTGCTTCGACAGTTGTGTGCCTAGTTAGAGAAGGGAAGGTTGGGAGGCGCTTAGGCTAGTGACCCCACTTAGTAAAAACAATACCATCGCTACTAGATATGCAGGGAAGTCAATGGATCCTGATAATTTTCATCCAAGGCTTCTCAAGCAGCTATCAGCTCACATAGCCGGCCTATTGACCACTATCTTCAAGTTATCTGTTCAAAATGGAATGTCACCGCATGAGTGGAAAGACGCCCTAGTAACCCACACACACAAAAGAGGATCAAGACAATGCACCTCAAACTACAGGCCTATTGGTCTCACCAGCACCCTAATCACATAATGGAAAAAATTATCAAGAAGCTACTATGGCGTATCTGGAAAACAACAACTTGTTGCCCAGAAAACAGCATGGCTTCCGAGGAAACCTCTCTTGCCTGTTAAACCTTCTCACGGGGCAAGACGGAGCTGGGTTAGATCAAGGAACAATAGAAGAGACGTCGACGTCATCTTCACGCACTTCAGCAAAGCCTTCGTTAAAGTGCTTCACAAAAGACTTCTCACGAGGTTGGAAAGCTTTGGAATCAAAGGTAGCTGACTAAACTGGATTAGGGAGTTCCTCATATAGGTAGGAGACAGAGGGTCAGGATCAACTCAAAACTCTCCTCCTGGACAACAGTATTTAGCGGTTTGCGGCAAGGCACGGTGCTCAGGCCTCCCTTATTTATTTTGTATGTCAATGAGTTATCTCTGCTCACCGATCCCGCTATGGACTTATACGCAGATGACTTTAAAATCTGCACATACTTGAAGGGCAACAGTGATACGCTCACAATGCGAGAAGACCTCAAATTGTCAGAGTGGTCCAAAGAATGTATTCAACCGAACATTGTAGCGAAATGTGCAACAATGAGCATTGAACATGCAAACATCAGCTCTTACGAACTAGAGGGAATAACACCCCCCCCATCAGTTTAGACTCAGTTGGCTTTAGGTGTCATAGTAAGTTACGATTTAAAAACTACAGCACATTGTCACGCGGTGGTTGCACGTAGTTTCAGATCCTTATGGGTAATTCACAGAGCCTTTACTAGAATCTCCAGAGATATGTTCACCTCTTTGTATGCATCTCTGGTGAGATCAAGACTGGAAAACTGTATCCAGGTAGCCAGCTAGTCCTTGTCTTAAAGGGGACTCACATATTCTAGAAAAGGTTCAAAGGAAGGCAACACGTATGATTCTCGGCATGATTATTTTATCATAGGAGGAAAGATTAGACAGTTCAAATCTCTTCTCCCTGTCATACCGTTGACCAAGAGGATATTTAATTACAATGTTTAAAATTTTGAATAATAATGACTAGGAACTTGATCTATTCTCTCTTTTCCTCCCCACAAGGTAGTCGGAACACTTTAGAGGACATAGCAGGAGAGTTCAAAAGCCAAGGAAAAACTATACTGTTGCGAAGTATTGATTCTTGCACAGAGTTCTAAACTCCTGCAAACCAACTCCCAGAAGAAGTGGTGTCAGCAAACTCAACTGAATTATTCAAGAGGAGTTTGGAAAAGCACAGAAGTTTACTAGAAAAGGATTAACATAGGCTTCATAGGCCTTCTATCCTCAATCAACAAATCTGAAATCTGAACTTTAAAGCTCAAATTTGATTCCCTGTGTTTTCACTCGAAATACAAAGGAATTCACCTAATGGAGAAGAGGTGTGTATCGGTACAACTGCTCATTCACTAATTAAAAAAAACAAAACACAACGGACCGATAAGAAAACTTGAAAAGATCTGGATTTTGCGTGTGGATGATTTATGTTTGATGTCAAACAGACTAGAAGACCACCCACACAAGCGAAAACCAACAAACTAACACAAGAAGCTGGCAGCGAAGGCAAAACTCCAGGTGGACATAGAGAAGATGAACACAGAAGTGATGAAGATACCCACCGATCAACCAAAAGAACGATGACCACCACCACCACCACCAGTCACCATCTCAAAGGGAGAGATTTGACAAAGGTTATATCCTTGACTTATCTAGGAAGCACAATTTCAGCCTCAGACAGTCTCAACGGATGAAAATGTCTAAGCCAGTTATTTAGGATCAGAATGACAAGATAAGCCTTCATCAACCTGAAAGCATTTTTAACAAGTTACAGACTTTTATCAACAGCTGACTGGCTCTATACTGAAGATTAAATGGATGGCTGGTCGACCGGCCGTCCAGAAACTATTAGCACAACAGGAAACTCTGACAGTGAAAAAACCAAGCGGCAGTCGATTGCTCAACAAATATGTAGGAGAAAATGGAGACCGCCTAACGACAACATCATGCTCAATGCAGGCCATTGCTCCGGTAGAATCCAAATGTAAAGCGATGAGTGGGTCATCGGTACGAGGGTGACATGGAGGAGGATAGTAAGTTGGAGGAGGAGGAGATGAGAGATCATAAGCAGTTGTGAACCCAGCTGAAGAGGACAGCACAAAATAAAACAAAGTGGAGATGTTTTGTTGCAGCCCTATGTTCCACTCGGAACCCAAAGGAATAATAATAATAATAATAATAAACAATATACAAGCTGAATCTATTGAATTAGAAAACCATTAAAAACAATCGATATAGTTACAATTAAGTTAAATGAATTCAAAACAAGATATATATATATATATGTATTTTTAAATACCTCCAAAAGTTTTTCATTATTCGTGCCAACATCCAACATTATAGGCAAGCAATGAAGTGGTTGTACACCGCCTAAGGCCACATAAAGAATAGCCTTGCTCAGGGGGATAGCCATTCCATTAGCGCCTAAATCACCAAAGCCTAATATACGTTCACCATCAGTCATAATCACTGCCTAAAAAAAAATATTTTCACGAGTTTATTTGGCATACCTTAATCGTGTCAACCGGCCAATTGTTTAACAAAGCAAATATATGTCCCCGATCTCGAATAGTTACATAAAGACCTCTAAAAATAAAAAATAAAAAAACAATATAATGCCTCATAAGTATAAAAACCACACTCCACTTACCGTGGTCGCCGAAAAACAAAACCGAAATTCAAACAAGCTGAGCCTACAGTAGGCGTATAGATAAGCGGGAGACAATATTCTAAGTGAGTTCGAACAGTCTGAAAAGGAGAAGACGAAGAAGAAGCAAAATGATTGAGTAGAAACCGCGGCAAAGTTAAAAGTATCACAACGCATAGGATGCGAACGCACAAGTGACCCTGAGCCGGTCAACCATTCATAAAAATAAGAGATTTTCACACACACACACACACAAAATGACGTTTATTTACAAGAAAATTCAGACAAAACATGTAAACAGGATGTGTTTTTTTCTCTGATATGACCTGAAAGTAGCTCTTAATTAGAATATGGAGTATGCATTTTTGAGTTAGACCAGTTTCCGTGCATATGTGTATTGACTGAGGTGACTAAAGATGAACTTTTCTGTGTGACGTGTTTATATAGAAAATGTCCTCATTTAGACATTTAGAAAACAGAAAGATTGAGCGAAGAAATACTTACTTTTCAATTGAATCCCCCCTCCCCTTAAACCTTTGAAATTATAAAAATTATATTTATTTTGACTACTTCATCCTTAATTACGTGTTATCCTCCTAAAATTAATTTATTCTAACCATTTCCACCTTTCAGTTATATATATATATATATATATATATATATATCAATTTTCTTCGTTAATTATCACCCCATTGACATTTTGACACTGACTAATTATTGTTAACAAACATATCAGTGCCACTTGATGATTGGTAAACTGTTGTGTATTGTAATAAAAATGCTGTACGTGTATATTAGAGTAGAGCCAGAGTGAGAGAGACGAGGATCTACTTGAAAAGTGAATATTTCTTCGTTCAATCTTTCTGTTTTCTAAATGACTCACTTTTATCTTGTTTTGCGGTCTTCTCTTAGAAGCCCTCGATTGAATTACTATGGTTTCGTGTAAGAGGACCGACAACTACTTACTAGGCAAATGTTTGGTTAATAAGACTAATTAAAACAATTAATACCAACAGCAAATCCAACCCTAATTATAGTCCTAATTATAACCCTTATCCCAACCCTAAAGAGGTATTAACACATTGTCCAAACAGTAGTTAAAAACGCGGTCGGAGTGAATAGCGTACAAATTGGCGCTATAGTAACAGTAATTCCCATTATCATCCGACGCCTGGTATGCGTTCAAAGTCATTGGAGCGTTCGCATCCCTGAGAAGTGATACTTTAACTTCACCGGAACCACTTGGTTAAATTATTATTATTATGACTCTAAACGATAGCAGCCCAAGGGGAAATTACTTAATCAAGACCTTGACAAATCTCTACCGGCCATTTAAATGCGTCCGAAGCGAAAGTGTTTAATTTCATGAAAAAACATCTATCTAAAAGTGGTGCAATATTTAAAAAAACTATTACATAGTAGACAAGAGCAAGGAATAGACACCAGAGTCGAATGACCTTGAACAACCAATCACATCGCTCAGCCTTACAATCGAATGCTTTTCTTCATAGTCTTCGTTGCAAGTTTTATCCAGATTAGGTTTGCTTTTTGACTTCTACTCTGTGGCAAATCAGTTGATACGGAGGACTACAACATGCCTATTTGGTGGAGGGATAATGACGCTGCATAAGTATTGCCGGGCTATTGATGGTGATTGTGTATTCCGATGAAACCACCATTACGTGAAGAAGTCTGTAAGAGTTGGTAAGTCGTACATTATGGTGACTTTCTAGATACTTTATTCTTGAAATCAAAACTCCCCCTAGTAAAATATTGCGTATATGCCACAACTGGCTACTGAAGCGACCAGTAGTATCTACTACAGCTGCAGAAAAAAAGAATAATAAAATGTCAACAGTGCTGTAAGTCGTATCGGCACTGTCGAGATATGACGTCACAAAATCTTAATCGAATTACTTCTGCACTTGGAGGAATTGTTGTCGTCTTTGGTACTGACTGAGAACTGAATCGCCTTGGTAGGGGAAGAACAAATCATGTTTGGGTGCTAGGAATGTATGACACAAATCTTCGAAAAGGGTTATTTGTAGAACTCATCCGAAACAGAAGTGTCGATGTTTTATTATCAATAACACAACGACCAGTCCTCCTAAGCACTATCATTAATACAAACGAGTGGAGAGGTAATCGGCAACTATCATCACTAGGCTGTATATTCATCATAAAATCGATCATTCTTCTGAATTAGTGGATCGTATGAGTGGAACCCATACAAATTCTATTGAAGGATTCTGGGCCCGCCTAAAAACACATATTAGAATGGTAAATGGTTCCCAATATGATATTTTGTATAGACATTTGTCTTATATGTCTATAGACACTCGTTTAAGAAAGTGAGACCAATTTTTGCAGCATATTAGAGATATATACCTGTATAATTTATTTCTATTACATATATAACTTATGAATACACTTTCTTTATAAATTAAATGCCACCAATTACCTGCAGGAATCTGATTGGCTGTTTCAAGGTCGTTTGAATTTGGTGTCTATTCTTTTCTGCTAGCACACAGGGATAACATTATGATATATGTTCCAAGAAAACCTCTCAACATTTCATAGGAGTCCCCGCAGTCAGGTTAAACCAAATTCCGCACATAAAATCATAGTAGCATAACTATACATCATCGCATTTCTCGAAATATTCACCATTCTCATCTCTTTTTCTCAGGTAACTCTAGAAACCTTCGATAGAATATACGTCAGTCTCATCGAAAGCATTAAAGAAATCGTCCGTATCATTGATGAAATGGTGAATATCAGCCTACAGACGACACAAGGGCCAACACGCTTTATCCGTAACAAGGAGCATCTTCAATAAGGAGTAATTATATATGTTAAATATCTCGCTTACAGCACCTACAATCCCTGAACAATTTTGATTACCTGCTTTCTACCATCAGGTTCTACAGTTATATAGCCAGCCATAGTAGTAAATGAATGAATTAGTGTTATTAACAACATTAATGTTGTTGTTTAAATAACATCAAATCAATAATAATAATAATAACAATATCAATGGATTACAGTTCGACAGCATCAACATAACATTATACACTGAAGGAATATCAGAGGAATTAGGAAGGAAAGAAATACAGAATTCATGAATTAATAGTCTCCACTGAAAGCCGTCAAGGACAGTACTAGTCGCTAGTTGGAACCATTTCTTCTGAACTCAGATCACTGGTTGTTTCAGTCTAATCACAATAGCCTCTAGTGTTTGGAGTATGCGGTAACTGGATGGTTTCGACAATTTGTGTGGTACCCGATAGGTGATGATGATGGAGAAGGACTCTTCATTGCTGACTTTGTGATCGGTCGGTTTGGACCAGGTGTTCTAATAATAATATCGAACTATTGATGCATCTCGCTACACCTTTATTTAGCCATACTGTTATGTTTTGCAGAGCAAGCACGAAAAATGAAGTTCGTAGAGCAACGGTCAATATAACTCGCTCCTCCACAAGCGCAATTGAACTAGTAGATATAATTAGTGGTGGCTAATCTAGGTACTTCATCTTTCAATTGAGGAATCACCACCGATCAGTCGTGTAGAAAATAAGACTTGTAGCTTACCAGCTTTAAAAGTTCTTTGAATTGATTTCCGCTAGGTATATATCGCCCTTGAATTGCAGTCGTATGTATATAGGCTTCTCATTTACATATAAAGAATAGTCCTTTTCTACTTTCTTAGTTATATGTTTCCTGATTAATTTGTTTGGATAGCTATTTTTAATCAAGATATCACATACAGTGCTTAGTTCATCCTCAGTTACCTCTTCTAAGGGTACAGCTATAACCGTGTAGCTGAGTGCCCTTATGAAATTCCTCGGATACTGGAGAGGAACATATCTATGAAAATATGTATATTGTCGTATCCATTCATTCATTATTATGTATGTATAACTGTAGAACCAGATGATGAGCAGCAAGTGATCGAAAATGTGAATATTCTTTGTTCAGTAACCATTCTTTTGAAAAAAAAACACTTTGATGGCCGTTTTTACTCATAATTCCGCCTGTATGCGTAGTATATATTACAGACTTATCTGTCTAGTTGCCTAAGGTCATTAACTCGTTCACACTTGGGGTAGTTTCTCTCATTTTGAACTGTTATAGTTTAGAGTCACCGTTGTTATTACTATTATTGTTCTTACTTTGTAGAATAACTTTTCATTACGATCCTGTAATGACATAAGCATCATATAACGACTCAAGTGATCATCTAGCTGATAAAGGTTTGAAATAATTCGTTGTTCTTCTACATCTTGACCTTGACAACTAGGCGGTAGAAGTCCGTGTATCCCGAGGAGTTGACGTTCATGTAAGCTGTATGACGAACCCTAATAATAATAATAGAGGAAATACAAGAAAAAGACAAATAATTCTTTAGATAACGCGAAATAACACAAGCAAACTTTATTTGTCCGTGGATCTCGTAGAATTTCAATTCCTCTAGTCTTCAAACGAGGTGCATTTCGAATCAATGACGGTAGATAACGGTAACTCATAATTTACACAGTTTTCTAGAAGAATAGAAGAAAAAAAATATGTAAAATTAGGAAGAGAGATGACAAATAAATAACAAACGACCAGAAGAACGTTTTTGAAGTATATCACTTAAATGTCAACTCATGATCAATCAAATCCCTGCAAACAAGCAAACATGAGAGAATCAGGGATTGACATGGTACCAGGGAGTAATCTGGTTGACTTAGAATATGCAGATGATATAGTCGTTCTAGGCGAGGACGCTGACAAAATCCAGAGGAGTCTTCTGAACACCTTGAGGTGCAATCTACGAATGTTTAGCATGCGATTCTCTCCCGCCAAATGTAAGATGATGTTACAGGACTTGACTGGACTACACTGACTCCTAGTTTGTAAATGGGGAGTGGAGTGGTTGGTGGAGCGCGTTGACCACTTCACTTATTTAGGAAGTTGGATAAACCAACACCAACGGGTTGATCTCTGCTCAGCAGTCTGCTCCATCCTCCTTTATGACTGAGACGTGGCCATTGAGGGTGGAAGACATAAAACCTTGGCTAGCTGTCTTTGATCATAGGTGTCTGCTCTCTATCTCCCGTGTGAAGTGGTATAATATGGTGAGCAATATTGAGGTGAGGCATCGGTGGAGTGCTAGGTGAGGAGGGGAAATCAATAGATGAGGCTGTGAGGTCACATCGACTGAGATGGCTAGGATATGTGTTACGCATGCATGCCTAGCCATAGCCTTCCTCGCCAACGGGAGATGTTAGCTGACATAGGGTCAGATTGGGAAAGAGTTCGCCAGTGGTGGTTAGACCAAAACATGACTTGATTAGTCAATGAAATCCACAACAGTTAGTTGAAGTCACGTAGGAAGGTGAGGACTTCCTGGTTGGGGTCCTCGGGACGGTAGACACCAGTAGCTGGGGACAATTGGTGATATGACTCAAAGCCGTTCTCAATGCATAGCGCTAACACATCCACTATATGGTTCTTCGATACTATTAATTTTTTGCCTTATATCTATGTTTACTGTCTGTGTTTTGCATTTCTTTTTACTTTCTTCTCTTGCTTTGTATGCTACATGAAGTGTGGTGACTCGAACTGCTGCACATCGGTGTAAAGTTCTATAATAATCCATAATAGTGAATGAATTAGAGCTATTAACAACATTAATGCTGTTGTTTAAATAACATCTAATCAACAATCATATCAACGGATTACCTTTCAACAACACTAACATAAAACTACACACAACTCTTGCTTCGCGTGCTACACGGAATGTGGCGACTTGAACTTCCGCACATTTGTGCAAAGTTCTATGTCAAAAACAAACAGACAGACAGACACACTGAATATTACAAAAATAAGGATACGTAATAACACAAATGCATGAATTTATAGTCTCCACTAAAGGCCGGCCAGAGCATTAGCAGTGGCTGGTTGTGCATATTTCTTCTGCACACCGAGCACCAGTTATTTCATATGATAGTATGACAGAGACATTTGCATAGGAATACCACGTTCGCAGTAAAATATACATATTTTCATAGATTTGCTCCTTTCCAGTATAAGAGGAATTTATAGGAAAATATTTGTTCACTGGTGGTAAAATACTAGTTAAATCATGCTCAAACAATAATCGAAACGGGAGAAATTACGGTATATAACCTAAATCCGCCCATATTTTCTGCTGACCAAGCCCATGATTAGCAAACTATTCACCCAGCTTCATCCGATTGGTTAAGAGAAATAAATTGTACTATGTCACGGAAACGCAGGCAGTTTGTCTCTTAAATGAATCGCTTTTTGTAATCAAGTTATTGGAGACTTCTAATTAGTGTTTCCAGTAGTTGTAAGCAAAGTTATGTATATATATCCAAACCAAGTTCACTTTTAACAGTGTGAAAAAAATTGGGCATTGGGTTTACATGATATTCATTATTATGAAAGTCATAAACATATTTTATTGCACAACTCTTGTAAAAGATCTAGGAGATAAACGGTGAATTTAGCTAATATACTCTGGTTGAGCACCTAAGATACACAAAGTGTTTTATATGATGCAATAACTGAAATGAAGATATCTCATCCAGATTCTGCAAATTACACCGAAGTCTCTTGTCATCCCACTTATTAATAAACAAATCAGCATACACTGATGAGAAATAATTCCTATCACGCTTCTACACCACATCGATTTAACTGTAAGTTTTACTTAAGTGCGGCGGGGGTGAGGCAAAGAAAAAAAATTTAAGTCAAATATTAATAGTAGTTACTGCTTGTATCCATAAAAGTTTTAAATCTCGAAAAATAAACTGCGTCAGCCCAATCTGACAGAAGTCAGGGGTCGGTAGTTTTTTACTCAAAGAAATGATATCACATCAAAACTCCCAAAACTTGTGAGACAGCGCTGCTTTACTATTATAACAGTTTTATAGTAGTCAGTGTCTGAAATTTATTTTCAAGTAGTTAAATCCTGGGAAAAGCATCAGAATTAACACCAATAATACTAATCATCACCATTCTAGCTAAAGACTGTGTCCTACTCAATCTACTTGAGAAGTTAAACTATCACAGCCAAACTCAAGGTCTGTCAAGAGTTGAACTTCAAGGACCAATCAGATATAGCGAGCAGAATGGAAGGCCGCTGTACATCAAACCATGCCTAACATTTTGAATTTGGTGAGGTCAGATACAGTATTCTCCTTATCCCCCAGATACTTTTCTGTAATTCTACACTCCTATTTACGTTTACGTGTTTCAAATTTAAGTCAAGGTCTACGATGAAGGTTAGGATTAGGCTTAAAGTCAAAAATTAGGAGTTAGGATTATGATTAGAATTGGGAGTAGGAGTAGGTTAAAGAACAGTGGCAGAAATATCAATCGATCTCAGTCCCAAGATCCACAGCCACTAGGATAAATACATCTGTTGAGCATGGAATGATTTCTCTATAGATACCCAATGCAGTCACTGAGAGACATTCTTTCAACACAACAGCGACAACCACCAAGCGCAATGTTATGTTTTTAGTACTTCTTCGCGCATTTCTCAACGATTATGCGACCTGTTTTGCATCTGAATTTTGACTGGTCACTATGATTTTGACTGTGCGTTGGTGGCACAGCTCTAGAATGCTCGCCGACCACGACTCACGTGTTCCGGGGTTCGGTCCTCGACCGGTGCACTCCTTTATCTCGCCAGGCCAGTTATAAGACTGGTAAAGAGGGAAGGTTGGGCATGAGGCTAACAACCCCATCCCGTAAAACTAAACGCCAGTGCTATCGAAACTTCAAGTCTCTAGCTTGAAGCCTTATCTTCCACTGGAAACGTGAAGGAATAACAAGAAAAATCATTTTGACTATGATAGTTTAGTTATGCCATCTACTTTAAGATTTAATGTCCTAAAAGCACCACGATTACTGACACTTTTAATTGTCTGACATGTATGAAATCTGGTTAATATAGGTAAAAATAACACGTGAACCTATAGGATTTTAATGGAAGAAAATATTGAAAAGCGTAACTGCGAATAGGAAAAAAGATAGGATAAACTAGTGAAATATATGTACAAATTATCATGAACACTAACCCGTAAAAGGAATATCGGACTTTCTGCTAGAACCTACCAGTTACATCATGTCACTGATGCCGTCACTTTAGTTCTATTTAAATATTCTTGAGAAATAAAAGAACATTACTAATTATTTGTAAGACAAGAAGTGAATTCTAAGATATATCAAGCAGCACGACAACTTTGCAATTATTCCTATATACAGATTTTGCGTGTCATTACTTATCTTGATAGCCTCCTATTAGGGGTTTTGTCCCTTTTTCATTGCTGTCACTGCTAATCCCAGAATGATTGTTTTTTCTCTCAATTTCTGCTTACCGAAACAATACACACTAGTGTTTTACCACTAACTAGTCTTGAAAATGATTGTTTACAGTGTAATCCGCACATCTGAAAGCAGAATTACAGATAATGAAAGAAAAAGCGAGGGAGAGAGAGAATATACAGTTGTGGCTACTTGTATTTAGCTTGTTTTACCGTACTTCACTGTAGTGGATATAAACTACTGAGATTTATAAAACGCAAGCGCATAACTCTAAGGACTGTGAAAGATGAAGTTTTCCACTGACAGAGACCTTAGAATTACGCTTGGACGAGAGATCAATGGCGGTGAGAAGTGAGTAGACCTGTGAACTAATCGAAACGCAAAATAGATAATAGAGCGAATACTATCACTAGCTAGGTCTCGAAAATTTCACAGTATTAGCAAGTAGGCTAATGTATTACACAGTCAGAACATCAATCACAGATTTCTGACTCCCAATATGAAGTAAGAGAATTCATATATATATATATATGTATGTATACGCATGTATATATATACATTTATATGTGTACATATATGCATATATATATTCAATCAAGCTTTGGGAAATTTATTTTCCTACTCCGAAATCAGAGGAAATCGACAGATTAGCAAACGAGCTATGCGTTATTTTTCAGTTTTCAAAACAGTGTCTTGAAAATAAGATTGATAGTTGGCATTATTTAATGCCAAGTTAAAATATTTTAACCACTGCCTTATATAAATTTGGTAACAGATATTCTCCTTCAATACTACCACTACGACTACTTTCGCAGTTACTTTTATTCAAGTCACCTAATGGCTTGAAAAAATGAAGATAGACTGTACACAGAAATAAACATTTAACCAAACCTGCTGAATTAAGTTTTCGTATTAGCGCAATAACCTCAGGAATTAAGTAGACCGCCCTAAATATATTCAATATGTCGTGACCAATAAAATGGTTTTTCGTGATACCTTGAAGATTGAGGCGATGCTGACAAAATCTAGACATTTATTGCATAGAATCACGTGCTAATGAGCGCCAGAAGAAGACAATTACACTTTCCTCTAATTTGGATACCCTCGTGTGGCGTTTTGCATACTTATTAAAACTCCCTTAAGCATAGTCAAAGTTTACCAAATACTGTCATCATCAGAGTCGTGATTAGGTCCAACAGGACGCCCAATACGTCAGTGATAAGAACTTTTGAGCTGTCGCCATAGATTATGTGTGATAAGGAACTTAGCTTTATTAATTGTCAAAAAACAACTACTTTTTAGAGGTTTGAAGGATATCTCGTTCAACAACTTCCAATTAATTTATTCTCGTGTACCAAAGACAAAGCAAAAGCCAATTATTGATCGTCCAAACCAAGAGATGTATTTAGGAACCAAAGCAAGCCGTTAGACCAACGCTCAGCTAGCTAGTGATCGTGCACGTTACACGACGGAGTACCAAATGGCGGGGATGCTTGACCGGAAGCCTTCAGCTAAACAAGTCGAATTAAGCAGTGGTGGTCAGCATCCAATGAGTGATTGCTGCGGTCAATAATTTTGGGGGATTATTTACCGCTACAGCTCACTCCCCCCCTAGTGGGGTCGTGAGGACCCTAAGACAGAACCAGCTTGAAGTAAAAAAACTCGATGGTTCCCTTTCGGGTGAAAAAAAATCTTCCGAGCGGCTTGGTGGTATGCCTATTTGTTTTTCTGCCTATGCTAATGGGGTGTTTGTACATAGCTTCCTGGTGTTGTTCGTTGGATTCCGTGCTTCGTTTGTTTCCTGTTCAGTGCCCATCGCACCAGGAAAAGAAAACAAGAACGCTAAGTACCATGTCGAGGAAAATGTACGAAATGACCTTTTGGTTAAAAAATTATGTGCATTTGCTATACAGTAAAATAATGCTAAGTTCAGAACATCGAAAAATAATACATGTAATTAATTTTTTTTGTGTATGTAACAGAACTGTTGAAAAAATTTTTTTTTGTGTTCGGTGGTACTGTATATAAAAAAAATTTATGCGTCAAAAAAAAATAGTTAGTACCACAAACGAGTGAGTTGCGTGAATCACATGACTTCGTTAAGTCAAATGACTGTGCAAATATTCTGGGAACCTTACGGTGCATCCAGAACGGTTTTTCTTAGGAGGCTCAAACTTAGTAGCCAGTGGGCGAATGCCCTTGCAGTCAATAGTGTGACCCAGAAAGTCGAGTGAGTCAACACCGATTTGACACTTTTGAATATTGATGGTAACACCATGTTGGCGTAACCTGTCAAATGCCAAGTCCAAGTGCCTAAGGTGAGTTTCCTTGTCTGAACTGGCAATGAGGCAGTCGTCCTAGTATGCGTATACAAAGTCGAGACAGCGAAATACTTCGTCAATGAAGCGTTGGAATTTTTGGGCTGCATTCCGGAGACCGAATGGCATACGTAGAAATTCAAAAAGTCCGAAAGGCGTAATGATGGCCGTTCTCGGGATGTCTTCTATTGCCATCGGGATTTGGTTATACGCTTTAACCAAGTCGATTTTGGAGAATATAGTCGCGCCGGATAAGGTTGCCGTCAAGTCGTGTATATGAGGCAACGGGTAGCAGTCAGGGGTTGTTTTGGCATTCACTCGCCGGTAATCACCGGTAGGTCGCCAATCATTGCTACCCTTTTCCGGAAACATATGAAGTGGGGATGCCCATGGGCTATTCGAAGGTCGAATGATGCCAAGGGTAGGCAATGGTCGAATTCATTCCTGGCGATTCTCAGTTTGTCAGGAGCTAATCGTCGTGCTTTAGATGTCACAGGTTGTCCTGTGGTAATGATGTGGTGCATAACCTTGCTGGTTATGCACGGTAGGTCGTTCGACGGGCAGGTAAGTTCCGGATACTTGTCAACGATGGGTTGAAAAGTTGGATCAAGGATCGCCTTTATCTTAACGGGTGACAAACTAGGGCCTATGTAGCTGATGCCTTTGATAGACAGACTAGTAGTATTGTCAATCAGTCGTTTTCGGCGGACGTCTACGAGTAAATCATGATGATCAAGTAGGTCCGTGCCAATGATGGGCGTTGTAACGTCGGCGAGAAGGAAAATCCATCGAATAGGTTTGCGTAAACCTACGTTCAGATAGACGTATTTTCTACCAAAGGTTGCGATTGGTTTTCCATTTGCAGCCTGTAAGTTGAAGGTAGGTTCCTTCTGTCGATCTGCTGCTGTAGTGTAACAACAGAAGACAAGGGCGAAGCAACAGATCGTTTTATTATGAAAATCAACACGTATTTATACATATTTCAACTACATTATTATAGACAAGCGCAGTCATCTGATTGGTTGTTTATCAGAAGTTAGGTAGACAAACGCAGGCTTCTGATTGGTTGTTTCGGGATTCCTTGACAAATAGAGTTCTCTATCTGCGAATCATATTTTGCCACGTTAACTTTGCTGTGATTGGTTGTTGACTCAGCCTTGTTCATATTTTCTCACGGCCCATATTAGTGACCTAGACCTTAACGTAGATTAGTGCCAACCAATCGGCTAGCAGCCTGCTCTCACCACACTCGTCCCCCCGTCAAATAGCTTCGTGCGCAGACGTTCCGACCTTCTGGGTGCTACATCCTCTAGTTGAGGATTGTTACTGACCGGCTTGTCCCACTGTACCCATCTTTGGAGCTGACTGGCGTTAACTCGTTTCTGTTTATCACCTCTTCGGATGGTATATACTTGACCCCGTCTTTTTGTGATTGTGTATGGTCCTTCCCACTTTGGAAGGAGTTTCCGTGAACCTAGCCCGCCTCCAACTGTATATCTCCTGTCTCTACACTTCACTTGGTCCCCGACTGCAAAGGTAATGCACTGCGTCCTTTCTTTCATCTGAGACTTCATGACATCACTGCGCTGCTTCCGTATTACATTCTTGACTGCCTCTTTCCTCTCTGCTTTTAATTTCGTCGTACTCCACTTTTGGTGCATGGGCCAGGTCTCATTGTGTACCGGTAATCGTGGTTTTCTACCATACATCAGTTGGAAGGGTGACTTCTTCGTTGTTTCCTGAGTGGTAGCCCGATGTGTTAGTAAAATCAGTGGAAGCTCCGTTTCCCAGTTCCCGCCCTTCGAGGCCAGCCACTCCTTCAGTGTACGGTTGTTTCTCTCCGTTAGGCCATTCGTTTGTGGATGGTATGGGGTCGTTCTGATCCTCTTGATGCCCAGCTGTTGCAAACGGGAAGTAAACTCTTCACTCTCGAAACAGGGACCTTGGTCTGTCAGTATTGTCTTCGGTACGCCGTGGTCTGCAACAATGTGTCTAACTACTGCATCTGTCACGGTTCTTGCACGTTGGTCTGGGATTGCTACGGCGTCTACCCATCGTGTCGCGTGTTCCGTCATCACCAAGAGGTACTGATTACCATTGGATGTCTGAGGAAATGGACCCATGACATCTACGGACCACAAGTCACCTATCGCGGTAACTGGAATCGACTGAAGTGGTGGTCGTATACACCGGTCACCTTTCATCAGCTGGCACCGTGGACATCCAAGTACGTATCTTGCTACGTCTTCTCTCATACCTGGCCAGTACATACTTTGTCTTAGGAGATCGGTCGTTCTGGCCACGCCTGTATGCGCTAGCTGGTGACATTCTTCTATCATGTCGTGGCGCGACGATTGAGGTATGACAGCCAGCCAGCTTCCGTCGTTCTCTCGCCAGGTCAGAGTCCCGTAGGCATTCACTCTGAGTCGATCCCTCTGTCTGAGTAGTGTGGTTAGCTCCTTACTCGCCGTAGTTTGATCCACTTCTATTCCGTTGGTGATCACCTGTATTACTGTATTCAGCGTATCGTCCAACCTCTGCCTACGTGCAAGTCTTAGTGGGTCTTGTTCTACTGCATGCACTCCGTAAGCGACCTCGGGCAACTCAGACTCATCTTCTGGTCTCGATAACAAATCTGCCAAGACATTTTCACTTCCAGGAACGTGTGAGATCGTAAAATCGTACTCCTGAAGACGCAACATCCACCGTGACAACTTCCCCCGTGGGTCTCTCGCTGTCTTCAAAAATTGTAGCGGCTTATGATCAGTTTCGATGTGGAACCGCCGGCCGAGTAAATAAGGTCTCCATTTGTCGACTGCCCATACCATTGCTAAACATTCTTTCTCTATCGTTGAATACTTTCTCTCTGCGAGTGTCAAAACCCTACTGGCATACTCAACGATTCCCTCGTCCTGTCTTAGGACCGCACCTATAGCGTAGTCACTGGCATCTGTGCACACTGTGAACTGTCTTCCTGGCACAGGTAGTTTTAGCGTCATTTGTTGGTGGTCGAGCAGCTGTTTAATTCTGTCGAATGTCCTCTGCGATTCTTCCGACCAAACAAACTTTGGCTCACCTAGTAGCCTGTATAGAGGGGCTGCTATCTCATTGAAGTTCTTCACGAAGCGGCTATAAAACGCTGCTCTACCCAAGAATTGTCTCAGTTTTCTCTTTGAATTCGGGGCTGGAATCGTTTTAATCGTCAAAATTTTCTCCGGCAGTGGTTTAATCTCACCATTTCCCACTTTATGTCCCAACAGAGTAACATTCTTTTTGGCTATCTGGGACTTGGTTTTGTTGACGCGTAGTCCAAACTCTTCGATGCGTCGCAGCACGGCTTCTACATGGTTGACGTGATCGTTTTCGTTTTGACTGTATATGACGAGATCATCACCATAAACCTCCACGTTTTTCAAGTTCCTAAGTAATAGCTTCATCAGTCGTCTGAACGTAAACGGTGCACCTGCTAGTCCAAACGGCATGCGTTTAAATCGATATTGTGTCTGACCCACGATGAAAGCCGTCTTATCTCTATCACCTTGTTTTATCGGTATCTGCCAGTATCCTGAGCGAAGATCGAGAACCGAAAACACATTCGCACCTTGTAGGCGATCTAAAGTTTCTACCACTGTTGGCATGGCACACGGTCTTAACTCTGTCATACTGTTTAACTGTCGAAAATCAACACAGAATCTATACTTCCCATTCGCTTTTT